CAGGTAAATTAGGGCAGGAATACTCAGTGGCGAAGAGATTTTGATTTCAGCCAAAGAAGTTGAAAGAAATGTAAACAACAAGCTTAAATGATTAAACTTGTGAAAAAATGTTAATTCTTTATCACTTCATGTTCATTGTTAATCGATTGCTCGGCATCTGAGTAGGTTTAGGTTGATGTGCGTTCACTGCCCGGGGGGAGGGGGTTACTCCCATACATTACCTATACGGGTATGTGTCGCCCAACGGGGACGTGATTTTGGAGCTCCTGATTTAGAACAAGGTATCCATTTTAGAGGCGTTTTCTAGAACGGGGTATAATATTTCGAACGCACGAATTGAAAAGCTCCAGTGCTCCGGATGATTATGAAGAAGCATTTATTTGATTTATAAGTCGAACAATAAAAAAATATCTTTTTAAAAAAACAGGGCTATTTCAGGTTACAAACTTTCTTGAACGGAGTATAAAGAATTCGCCCATTTCTAGAACGGGGTATCAGTTGTAGGGCGAATTCTAGAATGGGGCATAAAAAATTGGCCCATTTCTAGAACGGAGTATCAATTTTAGGGAAAATTTTTTTAGAACGGGGTTCCAATTTGGAGTCCCAGGCGGCACATACCCACCCAAAAAATACCCAGGTGCCCCCACGGGTTCACTGACCCTTTCACGGTTTTTCAACTTTTGACTGAATCCGTCAAAACGGGTAAAAAGGACGTTTTAAAATGAGTAAAGATGCCAAAATTGAACGTGATTTGTTGAAAATTAACGGAAATATGGCTCCTCCAAGTGGCCGAATTTTAAAGACTTTCTTATGGTGGGAGGCAAGTTTGTGCTCCCGGCCATACAAATTAACGTCTGTAAAATTTCGCGACTTTTTTTTTTAATTTAAACTTGGCAAGTTTCCTAAATTGTAAGGCGCTCTTTCTACCAGTGTTAATGGATATTCGCCAACCGGTTACTCCTGTTTTCGTGTTTGCGCTTTCTCAACTATCTCGGAAGTTAACATTTGCTTCCCCAGCTGTATCCAAATGCTGCCACTTTTTATTTCTGAACAGACGTCTTAAGCGAGTAGCCTACAGGAAACGTTTTGTTTCAAATTTACACGCTTTGTTAGCGGAAACAATATGTATAGAATATCCAGCTGAATCGTTTTGTCAGTACATTTAAAACATTAAGTGTAACTATTTAAGCTTCAATACCCAAAAACAAATTTGATTTGTTTGATCTCCCTGTACATTTCCTTAAAAAGAATTCGACAAAAAATCAAAGCATTTTCCCTTTGGTTAACATCTTGTTATCTTAATGATGTACATATAAATATACACCGTAAATATGATCTAACAGACACCCGGGCTGTCTATTTAATGTTAGGATCCCAAGCGTTTAAGAGAGAGGCGTATACAACTGTATTCTCAGAACTGTAGCAAGCTCAACTAAACTATACTAATATGCTATCGGAGAATATATCAGTTTTAAAAAAAGCAGACAATCCTGCCCATCCACTGATACGTCTAACCTGCTTTATTGTTTTTTAAAGCTCAAATAGGATCTCAAAATCTTTGCTTTGAACTTAAAATTGAACAAAATGCAAACTAAGCGCAAACACTTGTGATCCTGAATGATTTTGCTCTATTTCGCTATTTCCTAGCATTTTGGCAACCTCGTTCCCAGAGAACCCTGGGAACGAGGTTGGTATTTTAGAGCAAATGCACGCAGTAATAAACAGCAGGCATTTATTAGAGAGGGGAGTCCAATACAAACTGGAAAACGTAAAGGGGGCGTTTATTAGACAAGAAAAAAATGGAAAATGGGGAACTGTGAAGAGTCTTTTTAGGAATCGTCCTTTAATTTTATTACATTTATTGGAAGGTGATGACGTCATACATTATATACTTTCGAGCGTGTGCCTGTAATGGATGCCGTATTTCGGCCATCGTTTTAGCGTTTTCATGTGGACGGGCAAAAACGATTCAAACTCGCTACGTGTGGGCGCGTTTTTTAAAATATCCGGATGCGTGTCGATAGGGCCTGAAATATGATAATCACAGATAAAGAAAAAGAAATTGTGACTTAGTTAATCAATTATGACTAAATTATGACTCAATTAATTTTAATGTCCATGTCCTCGTTCGTCCTGTTCTGATGAACTTATTTCTTGTTTCTCTTTATCTTGGCCTTACTGTTGCAACTGACTTAATCCTGGCATGCTTTGACAACTCCATGTTTTGTGCAGCTCGTGATGCATACTTCGTTGCAGGTCGTGCAGCTAACACAGTCATCCCAGTCATCACAACTGCTTTGGCACATTCTATATTGACCGTCGCAATACTGGATACAATCTAAGGACTGGGCACGAGGTCTTCCCATTACGGAACTTGCGAGTATTATGATGAGAAGTACTGGGAGCGAGACCATCTAAAGTAAAAAAGTGACAGCTTTAACGTTTAATACTTTGATCTGTTTATTGACTGCGAGCAGTAGATCGAGATCACTTGCGTGAGGGGCGAGCGGCGTTTCTGCGAAGAACGAGAGCGAAGAAAAAATTAGAGACTGCGGTGGTAGCTTTGGCGTGGTGATCATGATTTCCTCCGGATCTCTCCGTACCAATCTCTGCTCTTTAAAAAGAACCGAACTGAATTATGTTTGTTTTCGCTTTGACAGAATCACTAAGTACATATTAATTCTTTTAGAATTCCTATACTATATAAGAGTTTGAGAGAAGATGAGAAGAGATCGACATGATTTTAAATTTAGCTCAGTTTTGAACTCCAAAATGTGGAGCTCGAAAGTCATACTTTGGGGAAGCAAAAATCGACCCTTTCGATTTTTCGGTTGTCGCATCACTTTGAATTGAGAGCAGTGATTTAGGTTACAGATGACTTGTGCATAGTCTGTTAAGTCTGCTTATTAATTTCTATCCATCCTCTCTCTTGACTATGCCCATAATGAATCTACAATTATTATTTTCAAAGCCTGCAAACAGAATTCCAAAAAGTTACAACAAAAAAGATGCTCTGCTGTTACAATTCGACTGAATACGATAGAAAAAGTGAGTAGATAGTAAGGCTACTTACGGTTCAGATCGCGGAAAACTTCTGGTTAAAACAATTCTTAGGTTACAAATGAAGAATAGAGCTAGAACGGTGGCCCGTTTTACCACAGTTAAGGTCTTCAAACTTCTTTTTATGCTGTTAAAAACGGAAGAGCCAAACTGTTTTATACAACTGAGTTTGTTGGCTATTTCCTTCGTAGGATGGTCTTGTATGGTCTCTCATTTTACACCTTTGGGTTTCTTTTAATTTTTTCAATTACATCCTTCAGAAAAAGTGAACACAAAAGGCTTCCCTTTTTTAAAGAGAGATTTAGAATCACGTTTACGGAAACGATCACGATTTGTGCCACACGCGACCAAGTTTTCACTTTACTTGTCATTCACTGTCATTTGATCATGAGTAGACACAAAAATATCAAGTTTCCACTGTTTCCCTAATTTCGAGATTTTGTCAACTTGAATCTCGTGTTTGCCGTCTTCCCTAAAGGTGATCTTCATCTTTAATTTATAATTTGTGCATAATCAAAGTTAGGAAGCGAAAAGGCTTAATTAATTAATCACAAAAAAGCGGACAATTCTTTTTTTAATTGAATATCAAAACAAAAGCCAGTCTGTGGCAAAAAGAAGTGATTTGCCAATAAAGAAACTATTGCCGAAGTCTCTGGGCAAGTGTAACGCGAAAATTTCATGGTGTAAGCAACTTTTTGAAGAAAACATGGAAACTACCACGTCATTTTCATCTCATCTCATATGTTCATATATAGTTCCAAACAAGGAAAAGACTATGTAAGCAAGTATAACGTGAAATAAAAACGAAAAGAAAAGAACGAAAGGAATATGCACAAATCGTAATTATGACAAAATGAAGGGCAGCACATGTCTTTAAAGAAGTTTTAAAAATTAATTCCAACCCCTACATTTCCATTCCCTGTAATTCTACGCTTTATTTTTTTTCTCTCCCCTTCCTTCCCTATGAAAACAATCTACAGGATGTGCTTAGACAATAATTTAAATTTCTTTTATTCACATTTGTTTTTTAAGATTTTACAATTGTACGATCTCACACCTATATATCAACAACTGTTTTTAACACATCTACACCTCATCGTACACAGCAATACTATCAATAAGTAATAAACATACGAAAGCCATCGATTAAACCAAGTTAAAAATGGCGCATTCATGATTTAGAAAGCGGATACGTTACGAAGCGCTATAGGAGCTATACCACGCTATTTGCTATCTTTTTTAAAAAGCTAAAACCTCTTTCGCATCAAATGTATTCCAAAGATAATAGTCCCGTTTTGTTAATTAATACTATATTTAAGCATTGAAACTGTTTCCTGTCGTTTGTTGCAATGGATGGCAACGATGGACCTGGATTAAAATGTGAAAAAGTTGGACCAACTTTTTCAAGTTTTAATGCTACGCCTGCAATATTATGGTTAGTGTTCCCGGATGTAATTTACTTGATCTTTTCTTCATAACTCTACTGGTCACAGTTTGTGTATGGAGTAAAGGTACTAAGTAAGGACTTCAGCACAGAATTGACCCAAAACAGCAACACACTATAGCCTGCGAACGGCAGACGTTTCTCCTCGCTCATCGCCGCTGAGGGACGTTTCGCGAGAAGGACCTCAACTCGCAAAACGTCCCTCAATGGCGATGACCGAGGAGGCGATGAGGCGATGAGCGAGGAGGAACTCAACTCGCAAAACGTCCCTCAATGGCGATGAGCGAGGAGAAACGTCAGCCGTTCGCAGGCTACAACACACTCGTGATATAACTCCTTTAAGATCGAAAGCCTACAATTTACAAGTAAAATTAGTTCTATTTTCAAACAATTTAAGATCACTCTGCAAATATATTATTCATTCTAGTCCCAAATGGGTGAGAAGACTTAAAGTAAACATTATTTCCTGTTTGGCCTTAAAAAAAGCCTTCCGACCCCTCGGAACCGTTCTCGGGCCGCTTTCTTAATCTTTTAAGGTGTAAACGTTTCAGGACACTTTATTTCAAACTGTAGTTTCTCAACTTGGGCTATTTAGCTGTGCGCGAGGCAAGAGATCCACCGCGGACTTACGTCTTAGGTCTTCTTTGTTTTGTTATATATTTAGCTTGATTTTATTTAACATTAAGAGAGAATATAGGCAAGGAATGAGCTTTCTCTCTATATACATGAAAACCCTTTGCGTCTAAGTAAAATGACAAAATGACAAATGGCGCCGACCAATTAGACCAGTTTAGTTTTAAACAGAAGGAACTTTTTTTTCAAAAAGTTAAGTAAATGATCAACAGCGTATTGTTAATACATAACTTTGAGCAGAACCTTCCTTCAGGCAAGGGACTGTGTAAAAGTGCGAGTGACGCGCAACTCAAGCGGGAAGCGCAAAGTGCTGTTTCTTGGCCCGCGTTTCTCGCGCGTCGGGCAGGTCTGTAATACGAACCAGCCCCATACCACTTCTTAGGTTTACAATATTTATAAAAAAACAAAGGAAGAACAAGGAAGCAAACGTGAAGCACTCACACGAACACCCGCTCAGAAGAGAAACGCGACATTTCACTAATGATTGGTTAAACACTTAAGGTCAGTATAGTTCTAGTAGTCAACCAAGCTCCCACTCTTAGAAGGACTCATTGACCGTGAAAATTCTCTCATGGTAGTGGCAAGCTTCTCGAACTCTTCCCATTTAATGGATTCCAAACTTCTCTGCATTCGAACTTTTGAATCGAGATGAGAGCAGCGAGACTCGGCTTCCTCGAGTCTTAACTTGAGTCGCTCGATTTCCTCGTCCCGCTCGTCAAGCTGCGTGTACAAAATAAAGAAGCATTATGATAAGGCTGGATGTCTCGCCTGTGCTCTCTTTTAAAGGAGCTGTGTCACTAAATTTATCAAAATTCAAACTGAGTGAAACATAAAAATAAAAGCTCAAAACGTTAAGATAAGGTATAAATAACAAAGTAAAATACAAAAGGAAAACACGGGTGGACAGACTGTCTAGAAGATAGAAATGGAATGCAATTGTGGTTTTTGAAAATTTGTTCGCCTAACAGTTTTTCAAAATCCATTTTTGTTGTTTGTAATGTCTGATAAAATGCTTGGTAGGCATATTTGTTTGACACAAAGCTGTGATTTTGTCATTCACAAGTACTTTCTCAAGTAATAAGGCGAATGGGGACGCGTAACTGGAACAAAATGAAACAGTCAGCCGTGACACAGCCTCTCTAAGGTGACTCATCAGGGTCAAAGGTAAAGACTGGAAGGGTCGGGGAGGTAGATACCTAACACGCGTGACGAGTAACAAAATGGTCAGAGAAAATATCGTGACTAAATTGGAGCTGGGAGGGGGTGGGGGAATGAGAAAACATCGCGACCAGATGGGATGGGAGAGAGTGAGGAAGCTTTTTAACAATCACAACCAAAAGGTAAAAGTCATTAATAGAAATACCGTAAAATTCCGAAAATAAGCCCCGGGCCTTATGTTTTTCGAAAGCCCTTTTTTAGGGGCTTAGTTTGGAGGGGCCTATATTCGGAGGGGCTTATGTATGGAGGGAAATTTGCGTTATAAAATCGGTTGGGCTAGATTGTAGTGGAAAGAAAATTTACCATTTTTGCTTTGTTTTACTTTACATTCGACAGCAAATACAAGCCCCCGAGGGGCTTATATTCGGAGGGGCGATTTAACGGAGGGTTTTTTGCGTTACAATTTTGGGGGGCTTATATTTGGAGGAGCTTATACATGGAGGGGCTTATTTTCGGAATTTTACGGTATGTTTTGAATAGCTTAACAACAATTTCACTAAACGAAAAGACTGTGGAGGAGGCAGCGTGGCGGAGTGGTCAGTGCGCTGGAGTCGCAATCCGGCAATTCCGGGTTTGAGTTCCGCTCTGGCCACTTGCTGGATTTGTTCTTGGTCCTACTGAGTTCAAATCTTCGGCCACGCTTGTAAAAGTCAACTGGTTGCCTACTACCAGTTGTTACGTTCTGTTTGGATTATTTGTTCCTAATTATTTGAGTGAATATCCTTAGCTCATCCTAGCTGGATAAGCTAAGTGCAGTTTCCACTTTGAACGAACCTTTAATCTTTTAAGCTTTTTTAAACAAAAATGTATCTTTCTATACCTTGGCGTTTAAGTTTGCCACTTCGTCAGTAAGGAGGAGCTTGTCTCTTTTAAGGGCGACGTTTTCTGAGTTAGTCGAGTCGTGTTGCCCTTCAATCTCGTTCAACTCACTGCGCAGCTGAGTTCGTCTTAAATTGGCTGCAAGGAAAATTTAGTGACATTCATTTAAGAAATAAACTTAAAAACGCAGTGTACTGAGACAATTTTCATCCGCCTCAGCAAGCTATAGCTATTTGAAGGTGAAATAAATTATAAAAATGTTGACGATGACGATGCAATCTCGTTCCCAGGGTTCTCTCCTATCCGCCTGGGGACGAGGTTGATGACGATGCTGCTAATGCCAATGACGGTGTTGTTGATCATAATGTTGATGATGGTGGTGGTAATACCGATGATGATGGCGATGACGCCTATAAAATTAGGATATTCCGCTCCCGATTCTTCCTCCCGGTGTTAAATGTTGGGGAAAAAGTATCCTGCCTTTACCCTCTCAAACGTTCCACCCCATCGAATTTCGAAATATTCTGATCAGATTAAGGCAATTCACAACGAATTTCAGGGCCGCTTCAAATCACGACGTCTTCATAAGCCACCAATTCCTGTAGGGCTACCTTTTTCTTCGTTAAAGTGTCATTGTTCTGGCAAGTAACACTCTTAGACAGCCATTTACTTACGGAGAAGAGGACTATACTTTGCCTTTTTCGTGCTTGGCTTAAAAAGTCCTGTTATGCAGGCTGGAGGCAACATTGACATTTTTCAACACAAGGACATTTAACACCGCAGTTAAGTGTGAAAATGCTTAATCTCTCTTCCGCATTCAAATGAATGAATTTCATATTATTCCCTCTCACAGAATAATTTTAGATTAGGCTTGAACCTTACCTTCCAAGGACGCTTGTTCCTCTCTTGACAACTGAAAGAATCAATAAGCCATAAGGTATCTGTCATACAGTGATGAGTTTTAGTGTGGACTACAGGCCCTGGTTGTTCACACATTGGACAGCGCTATCCACGGGATAAATCACTATCCTGACTATCCAGCTGATAAGTATTAGGGAAATCAATTGCGTTATCCGGTGGATAGCGTTATGTATCTTTTGAACAACTAGGCCCAGCGCAAGATTAAGCACGAGAACGGATTTTCAAAAAAAGTTCGCACGCTTTAGATTTAACACTGGTTACGCCAATCATATCCCTCAAGTCTTTCTAATGAGCTCCTTCACCCAGTAACGACTTGCAGTTCTTAAAAACAGCGCTGCCGCGAAATTTCGAGGAAGTCAATAATAATAAACAATAGATGACAGTCCATTTACATGGCTCACACATCCTCTGGCTGCTGGAAACGCTTCGCAAAAAGTATTCGCCGTGCACAATCTTGTACTTGTATTCAACCAACTGACCAGTGCCAAACATTTCATGCACCAATGCAATTATCTCTCATTTTTGGCAAGATTACTGAGATAAACATTATACGCTTCTGGGAAACTGCCCACCTACCCCTCCCCTAAGCCAACATGTTGCCCTAAGTGAGAAGTCCGTGTTATTGTTGGCTTTTGGTGGGGTAGGTGGGCAGTTTCCCAGAAACATATGATGATCCTAATGGGTTCGAGTACTTTAACGTACCCTGAGTCAGATATGACCGTTGTTCGTGTTCTCCGCCGAGAACTGGAACTAGTATATAGTAGAGGCTCACACAAGGGAAAAAATAATATTTGCATGTGAAATAAAACGTTGAAAGAAACTCTTAAGAGTCAATATTACAAGCAAATTTAACCCTTTTCAGTCGGAGAAAGTGCACGAAGCAATTGTAAATTTGGTCACGGTTGAGACTTGTGAGGCAAGCGCGTAGTTCAAGGTAGCGCTGCTGAATGCGTGAAACGAGGGCGCAAAGGCTAAGAGGAAAAAAAAATAAATGAAGAAGGAACAAAACAACATATTGTGGGAAAAAGGAAGACAAGAAAAAATGGTGAGAATTGAAAAGTGAGTGTTTTTAATACCTTCTGAAGGGTTTCCTTAAGATTATGTTGTTCAAGCCTTAATAGCTCTTTCGTCCGTTCTAGCTCCTGCTGTAAATGTTTCTCACTCTCTTTCAGCGTTACTAGTTCCTGGATGTTGGCCTGTCGACGGTAATCTTTTTCGTCCTTGTGGGCACGATCCTGTCACAATTAAAACGATACGAGGATGAAACACATTTTCAGATTCACTTAACCCAGACGGTTCTTCTTGCGAACTGGAAGAAAAATTCGAACTCAGATCCCGGCAGGGCGCGCGCACTCGCGTACTCGTATACAAGGAGGCTCCGCCCTTTTCAGGCTTCAGGTGTTCACTACTTTACACGTGCATCACAAGCTTTTTTGTACATTTTTTTGCCGTTTTTGCACAACTATGACGTGAAAATGCCTAATTTTGTGTTTTATGGAGAACTAAACAAGCAACGACGAAATTTTATTTCGCTTTCTGAACTTGAATATGGTCCCTTGGAATTCAAATTCAGGAGGATTCGCGTATATTTGACAAAGTAACTAAGTAGGAATAATCGCGATAAAGACTGAAAGAACGCAAATTCACTTTTTAAGCGACGTTCTCGTTGCTGTCGCGTCGTTGGATCTTTATAGCCCTAATGTCGAGGGGAGTTGGCTGTTACAGACTTGTGAAGATATGTATGTTGTGGAGATGTTGCTTCTGTAGCAGTTAGTAGAGGAAGGACTTAAGCTGACACAGGAGGCTGACTAAGCACCTTGCTACATAGCAATATTCTTAGGGAAAGATCTTAGAAAACAGAAGGATCATTTTTTTTACGCAAAGCACCACGCCATTAGCGGACAAGTCAGGACAACTCACCATATCTATTTGTTTTCTAAGTTCGATGACTTGAGCCGATATGGCAGCATTCTCTTTAATTAAAGCCGTACAGTCATCTTGGATCTGAAATCATAACAGGTTTTATTAGTTTTAAATTTATCGTTTATTGATTGATTGACCAATCTTCATAAAAAGGCTACCAAACCCCTCGCAGTCATTCTCATGCAGTTTCCCATTTCCTACTATGCGCGATTCACAGGGCAGTAAGAGAGGCGACCAGGTAAGATTAAACTGTTTCTCTTTGCTTCTCAGTGGACAAGCTCGTGGCGTAATGATCTTCCTTATGTTGCCAGTGGCTTAATAAGGTTTTAGGTCACGTAAAATGGTTGTAATATGTACAGACTGTATCTCCAAGATAACTGGTTCCGTACGCAACATAGAGTGCAAGACATCCATACCTCTGCGTTGGTCAACTGGCCCAAGAAAAGTTTTGGCGGCGCGAGGTATTAAACAGGGAATGATGTCAAAGGCACTTAAGGGTCGAATGCTTAATAGGCGAGAATCCTTATTTTGGGGGCTTACCGTCTTACGAGCAGAGGTTAACTTTTACTAGAAAAAAACAAGCTGTTTTGAGGACCACTCGCACAAGTGTATCGTTTCTCTTTGACTTCACAAATTTGCATGGTTAGAGACTATTGGCGTGAAACAATTTTATCCTTTGATGTCACGTGACCCTGAAATAATTAGTGTTAGCAAACCCAATTTTTTCATGCTCATTATTCTTCAGGAGAAAATCATAGTTACATATAAGTTTAATTTTACCTTGTTTCTAAGACTTCTGTCCTGTTCAGCGTTAATTTCTTTTTCTTTCAGCTGTAGTCGTAGCTGTCGTATTTCCTCCTATATTGAATAGGAAAGTTTTCAAACAAAAATATGGTCAATGCTGTAGCAAAAGTGTTCAAATTGCTTGCTATTGGTGCTAACTACATGTAAGCCACACAGTGTGCGATGCCTTACCCTGAGTGCCCGGCCAATTTCTTCTTTTGTTTTCGCTTGAGAGTCAAAGAACTTTTCGTCCATTTCTTGAAGCTGGGTCTTGAGCTTTAAACACTCCGCTCTCTTCTCTTCCAACTCTATTCTGAGATTGTTTAAATCCCCAGTCTTGCGGTCCAGCTGAATATAAAAAAGAAAATGGTATCCTTACCAACAGAAGTAATTCATAAGCCATAAAATTCCTATCCAAAGTCTGATAACATTCTCGGCTTTAAATATCATTCTTAGACTAAAATCCAGCGAATCAACTCATCGCAGAAGTGAGACTCTCTAAATATGAATCGCACTTTTTACAGTTGCAGTTGGAAACGAAGCTGGAATTGACCTTGTTTTGATATAACCCTTCTTGCTTTATTATGCAAAACTTGTTGTTGTTATGCTAACCAGTATTTTTTAAACAATTTTCCATCAGAAAAGGAAGGAGGTTAGTATCAAAACAAGGTCAGCCTCAACCTCACGTTCAATCAAAGGCTAGGACACCAAGCCCACAACTGTAAAATGGCCTATTGGACGAGAAGATAAAAATTATTTCAGTCTATTTGAAAGTGAAGTACCTCTTGAGTCAAATTTGGCGCCCTGTGTTATCCCGTTTTGTTTTGATTTGTTTGTCACTTTGTTCTTTAAGTTCTTTTTTTTCACAAACTGAACAAACTGAGCTAGACAATTATTTTCGTCTGTATCAAGAGCACCGTTTTTAACCTAGCAAATTCATCTAAATCAGTTACAGTTCCGCGATTTTCACATAATATGCACTGTAACTTCTTTCAGCGTTTCGCTGTGCCATGGGTCAAGTTAATTTTAAAGTTTATCTTAAAAAAGAATTTTTCAGCTTTTGTATCTTTCTCTCGCGGGACAGGATCTCGAGATTCCAATTTCGCGTGAATTTCAAAAATTAAAGCTATAACGTACCTCTACTCTGTAATTCTGTACTTTTCTCTCAGCGTCCTGTAATGCTGTTAGTCCTTTGTCAGCCTCACTCTTGTACTGATGCACTTGTAGATCCCGGCGAGCACTATCACGATCGTGAAGGTCGGCCATTTTTTTCAGCGACACTATTTCATTCACCAGCTGGCGTTTCTCTGCCGCATGGGACTCTGCAGAAACATTTTTTTTTCTATTTTAGACACAATGGCCTTTTCGCTAGAAAACAGCTTGGGCAATTCGTTAAATTTCAAAGATTGCTGATGAGCGGGTCTACTTTGTGCTTTGTGGTATCAACAACAAAGAATCTAATTCCATGATGTTAGTTTGAAAATAGCCCGAGAAAACAGCCCACTGGTTTCCCCGCGAAATGACATATGAGAAACAAAGGCAAAAATTCCATACTGATGACACATCACTACCCAGATCTGGATAGTGCTTCTGATTGGCTGAAGCAAATTTCCCACGTGGCACGACCAATCAGAAGCACTACCCAGATTTTGTAGTGACACGTCATCAGTATGGAATTTCTGCGCTCGTTTCTCAGACGTCATTTCGCGGGGAAACCAGTGGTGGCGTCATGAAGAGTCGGCTGTTTTCTCAGGCTCATTTGAAATTGCTTAATTCTGCATGCGAGTCAAATGAAATGAATCAGGATCATCAAAAATGGTCTCTTGTCTGAAACAGGGAAGCAAAATAAACAAGTTTTGTTTTAAACAGGCTCAGGGTTTGAAATCCTCGTTAGCACAACTCTACCCAAACGTCCCTTAAATGCTCAATAATAATTATCTCATGCACACCTTTTTTAGGCGCTTGGAAGTAGTGGGCGAAAGAGGGAACGGGCGCGCGCGAGGAAGACACGCGAGGGGTGTCTCCTTCTCGCGCGCCCGTTCTCTCTTGTGCCCACTACTTCCAAGCGCATGCAACGCAAGCTAACTTTTTTAAACGCCAGCATAACAGCCTAAATTTTTACTTTAGCCAACCAAGAAGAAGGAAAATGTCAAGCGTGAGATGAGAGAAAAAGAAAAAATGATATATTTATTTTTCTTTCCTTCCCTCATCTCGCACATCGCCCTTTGCCTCTCATGCTCTTCTCACAGTCTAGGACAGAAGCACACCTGACACTTGTAGCCACCGGAGGGGTTTTGACAATAAATGCTAAATACTTCACCTTCAGCATCCCTGAGTCGTTTTATTGCTGAGTCTTTCTCTGCCTCCAACATGTGCATCTGTGATTCCTTTCGTGCAACTTCTGATGCTCTCTCATCCACCTTCCCCTGCAGATCACGCAGCTTCCGCATCATGCGATCTGCTTCCTCTGTGACTCGAGGAGGAATGGCTATGGAACAAAACAACCAACTTACTAACAAGTTGTGATCAGTTTTTATGGAGAATTACCAAATGATGACTGTTTTGAGCTACTGATGTAAAATAACCTTCCTTTACCTTCCATCTTTATTTGTCAGGTAAGGAATAAAACTCAGACCAGAGCAACTCATTTACATATAGGGAAACAATGGGTGTTATTGTCAGGTAAGTCTGTAAATAAGGTTATCCACTTCGAGTTTTGTACGCCCAAAACTGTCAGGCAAGGGGACCTGGCAGACTAAATTGAGAGCTTAAGAAAAATGTAAGACTTTTTTGAGCGACGCATGTCAACAGGAAACTGGGGGGATGTTTGTATTCTTGGGCCATGGTTTGGCCAAATTATTGGGCAAATCATCTATAAGAGTGAAGACACTTAGCAATACAAATTTGGTAGCATGACAAGGCATATAGAAGAGAAGAAGCCTCACTTCCAGCTGACGTGCATCGCTCAAAAACACCTTTGCTTAAGCTCCATACAAATGCCTTTCTAAGCTCCCTAATATTATTGTAACTGTTTGGAAGTAGAAAATTACACATCATGTACACAAATTTGTTGCCCTGTGAGGAGCACCTGTCAAGAGCAAAGTGGGTTGTCTGTCTCAGTATTGTAACAATGCTGGTATAATAAGTTGCCTACAGTTGAATTACTCAAACTGTCTATAAAAACCTTTTTATTTTTATGTTTTAAATTAGGCTCACCTGAAGCTTTCCGTGCTTGCTCTCGTCTGGTGATAAAAGGGTCAATCAAGGAAAAATCATGAACACACTCGATATCGTCATCACATTTCGTAAAAGTTCCTCAACAATTATTCACCTCTAACCTACACTGTACTGCTAACTCTTGAGTCGATTTGTGGACAAAATTCTATGGTGTGACCATGCATTTAAATGAAATCTCTTCAGAAGTACTTTCACATGGTACTATTTATTTAAGATGTTGTTCTAACTTTTAAGTTTGTGGATAAAATCCCACGGTGTGACTTTTCAAATGAATTATCTTCGAGCAATACTCTCACATGGTAAAAAGTCCATGGAAAAAATCTTATGGTGTGACCATTCAAATGAAATCTCTTCAGCAGCACATTTCGCACAGTACTTTTTGTTTTTCAGCATTTATATTGAACTTCTGGGAGTGAAAGGGTTAAATTTTATGTTGATCATACTAGTCAGCTCTTGTTATTGTGGACACCGTGAGTAGGACCGAGATCTGGTGTCCTAAACAACAGGAAACTGTGGTGATAGGTACACTGTATAGCGAACTTTCAATCTGCCTTCACTTACGAGAACTCATTCTCGTAAATGACTAGCTCTAGTTGCGACCATTTTATAAGGTTCCCAAGGTGCACGGTTGCTTAAGAGAGCCTCAACTGTTTATACAAATGTGAACACTCAAGCGCTTGAGTGCCTGAGAAGGGGGATCATTAATTTGAAGAGGGAGTACAATAATGTTAAGTTGAGGAGACACAGAGGGAATCCTTCTGATCTATTCCCATCGATACATTAAATACAGTATTTCCTTGAATAATAGCCGGGGACGATTATTAATTTTTTTCGCAGAAAAAGGGAGTGATTATTCTAGGGAAGGCAATTATTTCAAATTTAATATTTGCTCACTGTCCTAAATATTTTGTTTTCAGTTTCCCATTAAATCAAAAAAAATTAATAATCACATCAAATAAACTGAACATGGGTTTTTTAATTAAGTGTCCCAAATTTAGTTCCTTGTCTGAGTAATTTTCAGAGCTTAAATCGCCACTGATCAGTTTTGCTGGATCACATTGCACTTCAACTTGACAGGGAGGGGATAAAGGGAAGAGAAGATGGCGAGAGGGGCGGGCGAATCATTATCTCAAGGGAGACGATTATTTTTGAAACATTTCCGTCAAAGGGGGGTAACTATCCAGGGGAGGCAATTAATCAAGGGACGGCTATTCTTCCAGGAAATATGGTAGCTTTACCGCAGGATTTTTCTTGCAGTGGATATTTCAAGTGCAATCTTTGGTTGAATTAGATAAACTAACTGGGCTCAGTTTGATAAGTTCAAACTGTTACAGAAAAATATGCAGGTTTTAAATCATGGCTGGCAAAGGATACAGATAGTTGGCTTCCAACTCAAGGAAATAAATCTGTTGTTGAAGATTCCTGATGTACTCATTTTCAATATCTCCAATTGCAGCATTAGATGTGGAAGATCTGGTATGTTTTCTGAATAAGAAGAGAAAACAATAGAATCAGTAATGAAATCCTGTATTCCTCTCACTCACCGCGGAATCAATAAAAAATAATTTTGCAAGCTTACGTTAATTTTCCCTAATAAACTCGAAATCGTCAGGTGCAGTGAGGGTTGTGTTCCCTGTAATTTTTAAGCTCAATTTGGGATTTAAAATTGTTGTTTACTTTCGCAAACTTGACAAGGATTAAAAGCGCTTTTGTTGGAAAACAAACACACAGTTTGCAGTTAAAATCAGCCTTGCAATTTTACTTACAAATTCTTCAGCGTTTTGTGGTATGTTTATACGATTACAGTCATGCACAGTGTATCTTCGAGTTTTGCACGCACGGGCATTTTGAAAGGATCGTTCTCCTGGGGATAAATAGCTCTTTACCAAACCAGCACTATCGTTTCTTAAGATTTTTAGTCCTTGATTTAATGAAAGCATACAAACAAATCCGTTTGGGTGAAATTGTGAACGATACCAAAGATCGGCGAAGACAGTTGTAGCAACTGGGGAATGCCTGATATCAGCGTGCCAAACTGCCGTGTGCATAAACAATAGCGTTCCCAACCTTTTTATTGTACCTCGATAGAAATTAAGTGAAAATCACTTTAGCCACAGTAGCACCTGGGAACAACTGAAGGGTATGTACTTAAAGAACTTACCCAGTTTTTGAGTCAAACGATGCCGCTAAGTGCAAACTTCTACTACCCGATTTTCCAAAGCTGCCAGAACGCCGGAGATTATCCGGTGCACTGCTCCGAAGTGGAGAGGCTACGACGGATCAAAAGTAAACATAATTAAACTAGGAAAACACTGGACTTGCTTTAACAAAATATATTCAGCATAGCTTACCAGATCTGCTTCCTTTCGTCCTTGAAAACGATGCCATTTTCTCTTAACTCCAGATTGTCAACATGAAAATGGCGTCGCGTAACCAAAGAAATTTTTGCCGCTGAAATCGTTCGCGGGCTCAGTGTTGCGCCATGATAGGCCACTTGCACTGTCAGGGGGAGGCTAGAGTCAGTTGTGACGGTCACTTTTCGTCAGGAAAAATCTCGCTGGAAAAAGGCCTCAACCCAAGGAAATCAACCGTTAAATTCTTTCTCTGAGCAGCCTTTATGACGCTTTCTAAAGCCATAGTAGCGTGGAAGCTGCCACTTGGGCCGAAACGGCCTACCAGTATCTTTATTAAACTTGGGTTCGCGTTGGGCAAACAATCATATCGATATAAAATTTATATCTAGCAAAAATGATGACTGTGGAAAATATTGAGCTAAACCCTTCAATTATGGGCAAATTTTATCTTCACGATATCAGGGTAGGTTACTGAATTTGGAAAAAGCCCCAATTACATCTCATCTGAGAAAACTCGCCTGAGAAGTTCAAACAATCCAGTTTTTGTATATATCATCAAAGTCGAACGGTCTTGGTTTACATCCATTTTTCGTTTCTTTCATGTCATGTTTTTAAAGCAAAAATATTTCCCAGTTGGACTAGGATTTTTAATAGACTCTGCCCTGTATCTTAGACCAGAAAAAAGCAAGTCTCGATCTCGGATAAACATCGGATGAACAAGTAAGGGACTTGCAGCTGTCTCGTCAAGTCTCGCCATATCAGTCATACCAGCAGTCAGATAATAGCCCGATCGCGACAAAACCGTGAAAAGGCCAAATGTCCGGTTTTATCTATATTAGCTGTTTCACCCCATTGTAGTAATACCTATCATTTCGAGCATGCCAAAAATGCTTTGCCACATTAAGGATTCAACATGGCAAGTGGGCCTTATATGAAAAATCAGAGAAGTTTTCGAAAACAAAAGGAAAAGAATTACTCAGCTCCACTGTTATTTTGTTTCAGTTTATCATATCTGTAGCAAAAATCATTCCAAATCCGCATCCATATCCAGTGACTCGCACGCGACAACCAGAGAACAATTTAATGGGGACAGACAATCCAATCACCCGAATGATAGCCTGGGGAAGACTAAAATCGCGTTTTGCTTTCATAATTTACCAACGCAATATATTTAGCAGCTTTTATCTCCTTAGATGGGTAATTGATCACGAATTACATGTAATTCACTTAAGTTTAAAAATAGCCATTTCTAAGTTGCCTGCGCATGCGTCCCAGACACTCTAAACCTTCTGTATAGAGCGTCACGGACTATACAAATGGTTTAGACGAGTGCGTGGGCCGGCTTCCACGCAGGCTATTTCTAGGGCATTTTCATTAGCGAAAATATGGCTTACAAATAAATTGCGTATTTCTATCCTCAAGTTGAACAGGGATTTTTAGGTGCCATTCAAGACATTCAAGAACACTTGCACCTGGCATGGAGTCGAACTAGGTCAGGCTGGCCGTGCATGGAAAGCGCATGTTTCAGAATTTTGGCCAAATTAAACGCATGTCGTGCCAAGGGTCATGGCGTCGTTTTTCTACAAGATCAGCAGAGTACGTTTCTCGTTTCGGTTTGCAAATAGAAAAAAAAATATAAGATGTTGTAATGGAGAAGCTCTGAGAAATGCGTGTAGACGCCGATTTAAATTCGATCCCTAAAGCGCCTCAAAGAAACAACTAAAGTATACAAACCGAGTGGAAAGAAAACTTTACGCTTAATAAATGTATATACAAAAAGCAAATAGCCAGGCACAATATTTAACCGTTCAGTATTGTTTACACGGATTTTATCCACAAACCATGCAGACTCAAATGGAAGTAAAACAAAGAGACAATTAAAGAATATTACAGTCTTTTATTTGTGTATAGAAAAAACCTCGTCGACGGAAACCTTAATCCAATGGCAGACTGAAAACAAGACTTTTAAATGCCTAAGACTATAAGATGCCTTGAGTTGAATCTATAAAATCGCGGATGGTTGAATACTTTTTTAATTTTTCATAACTTTCTTTCCAGTTGTCTTTTCCCTTCGTATTCATTTGACAACCGATGCAATACCACGCATGCGTGTGTCACACGCTTCCGTTGAAAACTTTGACAACTCTGAAAGCGGTAACTACCGCCAATCTGTTGGAGAAAAATTATCCAGAGCGATGAATAACAATTCTAACTCGCCGGTCAAGCATGAAATTGCTCTTATTAACGGAGTTGCGACAAGAATCGCGAGCGCGAGATCTACCGAGGAAAACCTTTGCATTGTGGTTATACCCGGCAATCCTGGTGGAATCGGATTTTATGACATCTTTATTTCAACGATTTTTCAGGCTGGAAAAGGAAAATATTCCGTTTACGGCGTCTCCCATGCAGGTATGGCTTTCAATACCATTTAAACGTAACAGGTATGAAAATCATGGCGAGATTTGACTTAGAATTGATAGAAAATATTTCTCAATCGAGTTCAAGGAAAACAAAGCCTAAAATTTCTTGATCTCCAGTGGTGTTCCCGCGTTTTATGATTCTCTTTTCTCAAGCTTTTATTTTACTTTTTTCAGTTTAAAGATCATAATTTAAAATGGTTTAAATATACTACTTTCGTAAAATACCAAGAGGAGATTTTGCGAGGGCCAAGCCATTTTTAAAACTATCGATAAACTCATTGTTGTGTTTATAAATGACTGCATGAATAAGAAAAATTATATGTGACCATCTGCTCATCGAGACAGAAAGCTCGTACAGGCCGATTGCGAAACAAAAACCCACAATTACTATAAACGTTACGCTATTCGCCGAGTTTGCACCACAGAAAAATTAAAATCGGATAGATTTTAATTAACAGGAGTGTCACCATACTTTCAATGGAGCGATTTTCAATTTTGGCTGCAACAATTCATTTTCTCATCATTTATTTATTACTAAACCTGTAAAGAACTGTATATAAAATTAAAATAGCTAACAATTTGGTTTTGAAATTCAGACTGTTATTTTAACGTCGACCCATATGCTGGGGAAAATTCTAATTTGATTAATTTGAAAAAAAAAAAAACAGTTTTCTGTGTTTCCCGATGTATTGCAGTTTCTATTTTATTGAGAAAACTTCCACAGGATTTATGATAGTTTACCGCGGCGGTAAACTTGCAGAGAGGGGTCTTTAACTTGTAAAACAGCCGTAAGAACGGCAAGCACTCTTCAGTTCAAACGATTTGATTTGGCGCTTCTAGCCCTACGAGCAGGAGTTACCAAAACACAGGGGCGCCCAACGACAATTTTTCGAAAATATCTGTTCGGAAGACGGTTTCAGATCTAGAATTTTCGGAACATTTGTTGTTAAATTTCTTGCCTGCCTGCCTCTCCTAGGATTTTCGAACCCCCAAAAAAAAAAAAAAAAAAAAAAAAATTGAAAAGATTGCCCATTTTTAACGGATTTTTATCCTAACTGAGGTCACCTAGAATTTTCGGGAACCTTTTTTCTGGCTGAAATTTTCGAAAACGTAAGTTTTGATCCCTATAACTTTCGGATCACTACACTTTCAGCTAGGAAATCCGAAGAGCTGAAAAATTTTTAGGGGATAAAAATATGCTAATATCTACCGTTCAAATACTAAAATACGTTCAACAATGCTATGTTTAAGTGGTTTTGTACTATATTCTCGTTGGGTGCCCCTGAAAACAGAGCAAAACACAACTCTAGTTTTGCCTTATAGCAATCGTAGTTGGATGCACGCCAGTGACAAAATGTAAAAAAGGGTGTTAAATAGGGCGATTTGTTAGAGCACTATACCCTATCTGACGTTTAAGTGATGCAGTTGGCTTTGATTGGTCAGAAATGGCAAGAACTCAACAAGATTATTTAAAGCATCTTGTTATATTAATTCTTGCTATATGACATTACAAGAAATACGAGTGCTCTATCGCGCCCGTTCAGGTCATTTGAAAAATGTACACAAGCTACGTCACAATGCACGACATTTTTGGTCGCGTTAGTCTAGCAGACACTGGCAAACCGGAAATCCAGATTGTCTAGGATCAGCTCCTAAATAAGAAAAAATGTCCCCTGAATTTTTGGTGCAGAACAATTTTTGAGATATTTTGAACAGTTTTCAGGTGTTTCTTATTGTTGTTGTTGTTGTTGTTGTTGTTTAACATTGAAAGCCTTTTAAAAACAGGTCCTGGCCACTCGAATCGAATAGCGGAATGGCTCTTTAACTGAAAATTGCGTTCACGCGGGATCACGGTTGTTGAGTCATTATTCTTCGCATTATAACACAATTTTAAAACTTCTTTTGATCTTTAATTGATCTCGTATCCAGGACATGCTCAAGTTGACGACCGCAGTGGTCCATGCAAATGCAAAAGCGAGAAACAGTGGGATCAGGAACAGCCATCGTCTTTCACTCTCAGCGATCAAATAGAACACAAACTAGCCTTTCTTGCTTACTATATCCCTGCGCATTGTAGGGTGATCCTTGTGGGACACTCCATTGGTGCGTATATAGCCTTAGAAATGCTGAAACGATACCACGACAAGGAGAAAGTCCTCAAGTGCGTTTTGCTTTTTCCAACAATCGAGCGAGTTGATTCCGCTCCGAGCGGCAAATTCTGGAAGTTTATCTGCCATTATTTACATTGGCCTTTCCTTATGGGAACAGCGGTGGCCTCGTTTTTGCCGTCGCTTCTTCAACGCTGGGCCGTAGGCTGGTGGATGTATCTGAATGAAGTCGAAAACAAAGAATGCATCAAAAACGCCGCACAGGCTATGTTAAATTACCACACGGTTAACAACGTCCTGGAGATTGGGCGCCAGCTTACCACGATAAAAGAACTGGACTACGAGTGCGTCCGGTTAAACCTGGACAAACTGGTTTTCTTCTACGGGTTGGGTGACCCGTGGGTGCCACAGGTTTACTACGAGGACATGAAGGAGAGGTTCCCGGATGGAGACATCAAGCTGTCACGTGATAAGGACATTAAGCATGCATTTGTGCTGGATACCTCTGAAAAAGTGGCAAAGATGGTGTGGGAATGGATCGAAAACCATGTGAACGAATACGAGCTTGAAGACACAGTTACCATTGTCGAACCTTGTTAGTGACTAGGCTATTGCATGTACTTGACATAACTTGGGCCACAGTGAGAAATTTAAAGAACAAATTGAAGAAGTTACTTTATTTAAAAGTCAAAAATGACACAATATATATTGTAAAATATCTATGCAGTTATATTCGGCATCGAAGTGTTCACCGAAGGAATAGCCCTCTTTAGCTTGTATGTTTTGTTTTCCCAATGATGGTCTCGAGAGAATTTGCCCCTTTGTCTTTTCATAAATTGTGCGTACATGTACAGGTGAATAAGAAAAAATTTGTAAGAAACAGTTCTTTAGAGTATCATCACATGACCTACATAGGCAAAACAAAACATACAAGCTAAAGAGGTCTATTAACAAAGGCTGCGTGGTAGAAATTTTTTAGTGTGAGACTATACGTAACATTGGAATATTCGGATATCCAGTGACAAAATTCTGGCCAAGGGCATCGTGGAAACGCATCGGTAAGTAAGTTGTTGGTGAATAAATGTTCAACAGGAGAAACAAAACAAAAGCTATTTTTAGCATGTTTTGTCGAGCAGAAAAAAATGTTTCTCTTAATAAACAAGTTCTTAAGCTTTCTTTGTGTCCTTTGTGTCCCCTAGACCTCACAATGTAGTTAGTTGGTTTCGAAAGTAGCCTATTACTAAAATAATACGAAATATATATCTATCTTTTGATGACTGGTAGTAGTTACGACAAGACGTTGCCCGCCACCATTTTAAAAACAGCCTTCCTAGTTACATGATACTTCACAACTATACATGTGGGACTCCTCAACACTCAAATTGAAACAAAAATTCGTAAGTTTACAAAGTCTCTCACCGTTTTTTTTGTTTTATTTTTGATAACGCAAATTCGAATAAATGCTACTAAACTAAGGGTCTACCAAGACAATAAATATTACTGACTCTTTTATGTATATTCCTTGCTTATGGAAGTGAACATTGAATTCTATAAACGGTTTAGTTAGAACTTAATGGATTCCTTCCATCAAATTTAGAAAATTGCGAAGTTTCGGTCGTGTAAACACAGTGTTCCTTTGTATTCGAACATATCAATTCCAGATGTCAATCAATTTATACTTGCTACGTCGAGTCAGAGTCTTCTCCGCTGTTAAACCGAGCAAATCCTCGACCAGGCGCTCTTCTTCCTATAAAAAAATAGACAATCAGATATTAGGAAGATATTTTTCTTGGACCGCTCATTCGGAAATAAAATGCGGCGTCTACTCTCTCTCTCTCGTCAAATTCTTACAGAAATTTGTTTCCTTAGAAGGGAACTTCGCCCTTTATCCTCAACGCAGATTTTTAAATTCCTCCATTTAAAGGGGCTCTGCCTCAGCTGTCTAGTTTGTTTTGATTATAATGTCAACAGAGAGGAGAAGTTTTTTTGCAACAGCAAAAAAGTAATAGGTTTAGATTGGCAAAAGAACAACTTTGCACGTGCATTACGCTTTTTTGTACATTTCTTAGCCGTTGTTGCACTACTCCGACATGAAATTCATAATTTCATTCGCCCGGACGGCGGTTTATCGAGTAGGTGAGCACAAACCCAAAATTTTCTTTTTGTTTTTGTAATCTTAGATACGGTCCCTTCGAATTCAACCCAGAAAATTTCGCCAACATTAAATGAAATTAAGTTTGAAACAGTGCGAATCTTTTTTTTAAGTGACGCTTTCATTTGTTGTCATCCAGAAATTTTGCTACCATGGCAACGTGACGCAACGACTTTTTTCTCTATTATGCGCCTTTGTTCGCCATTGAACTTGAGAAATTCCTTGTGAATGGCAAAATCACAGCCTCGTGTCAAAGCAACATGTCTCCCAAGTATTACATCAAACGCTGAAAAAAATGAACTTTGAAATACTGATAGGCTAACAAGTTGCACACGTCAAAACTACAATCCGTTTCAGTCTTCTTCAAGCTTGCCCATCTGTGCCTCCTTTGTATTTGCTGTGCTATTTATACATTCTTTTCATGTTTTGATCAGTTACTTTCTTTTTTCACTTAGTTTGGTGGCTGTTTCCACTGTTTGATTTTTGCTAAATACTTTCTGCATGACACAGCTCCTTTAACTTTCAAATTCAAAATACTACCCGTCTTACCCAGCCTTGGTTCCCAGTCCGTCTCACTGCCGCTCTCCAAAGGTGTCCTAGACCACGGCCGACGTTCTCCTAACTTGGGGGTCTCCTCTCGATCAAAATTGACTTCCGTCTAGATTTAAAACAAAAACAATCCAATTAAACCAATCATTAGTATTTGCCACATGCAAGACAGCCTTACCAAGTGAAACGAGGAGACAACAGCATGCAGAATCAGGGCCTATTTATATGGAGGTGGGGGACCCCAGGTACGTGAGGTAACCCGCTTAGGTGGGGCAACCGTCTGTCCATATAAGCTCTCATTTTAATTTTATCTCGTTTACATGATAGTTGGGGTCACCATATGAGGGGTCATATGGACAAGCGGGTTTCCCCACCTCAGCGGGTTACCTCACCTAGCTGGGGTCCCCCTCCTCCATGTAAACAGGCCCTTTATAATTGCCCTCCCTTCAAGTTTCATTTCGAGTGAGCGGGCTTACGTCTCGGCGGCGCTTTTAGAATATCACGTCACGATCATGAAAGCCATCAAAGACCGATATAAAAGTCTTAAGTCACAATTGCAAAACTTTATCAATGACGCTAGCCCTGCGAAAATTTGTGTCCGAGGGCCCAGAATTGAAATTTCAACTTGCGATTGTGTTCACGTTCTCGGACTGTTTTGGACTACTATTTCACTGAATAATTATCGACACCTGTTATAAATTAAACATGGAGGAATATTTTAAGGCTATGTTCACACCGTACCGGATAGCTGTTGCGCCGGCACGAAAATCTTTTACTGAATAGGGATTCTGTTCATACATGAGAACAATGATTTCGACGCGATTCCTGTAAAGGAGCGAATCTGCGCCGCGCCGATCTCGATGGTGGAGCGTCACATATCGGCAAGGTTCTGTGTCACACTTTGGTGTAGTGTGAAACGGGTATTCGGACCGTGGCGGAAGTGAATGGAACCCACTGAATGGAATGGAACCCACTGTGAATGGAACCCACTGTCCGGAATAGTGTAAACACAGCCTTAAAATGAACATAAGGCATTACGTCATTGTCTGATGAGTATCCATCGAACTTCCACGATTTCTGTTGCCGTCCTGAGTACACCAAGTCACTCCGGCTCGAAGATGCCGTTTGGGGCCTGGAACTATCCGGACGGTCATCTGTAAAGGATCCCCCTCTGGAAAAGCAAAATGGAAGACTGAAATAGCAGCACAAAAAATTGACGAGTTTCATATCCACACCTATAACTCTCAATTCACTTCTCCGCCATTAGGCCCGACAACCAGCAGCAGCTCGGGAAACTAGCCCGCACTCCTCCCCTACTAGGGAGGGAAAAAGACAGGACCCGAGAGAGAGGTAAAAATGGAGCTTACCATGAAGGCGGAACAAATCTACATTCTGCGAGGGCTAATGAGAACTGACTCATCCACGGGGACATTTCCTTAGGAAAATGGGAGGGAAAATCGGGAGGCAACGCGTTTGTTGGCATGGCGAAGTAGTGAAGGGAGAGTTGACCACAACGCACTTTTTCAGTTGTTTGGTCGGAACAAAATGGTGACTTATCCGTGATCTCTTCCTCTTCAATACTGTCTGCTAGCTATGATTAAAAACCTAGCAACAAGCTAAAGATTCCGTTTTAGTGCTTTCCGCGCTCGAGTGTCAGGTTGAAAAATTTCCAGCCAGTTTTCTTCTATGGCCAGTGCGGTAACTATAAAAACGCAAATTTCTGCCAAATTGTAAGTACGACCATCAAATATTTAATACGGAAATCTTGGTCCTTCTCTCTTAGAAAAACGAAACTTTCGAAAGGGATTTAACAAACCAACGATCCAAATTAGGCTGACTATATACAGTCAAAGTCATCTACTGTTCAACCTGATAATGCAGTTTCAGTTGGCTTTGTTTTATTTTTTTGTTTTTGTTTTTGCAAGCCATCTGTGCTTTCTCTGCTGTATTGCTTTTCATATTTTCTTACAGTCTTCGGCACGCCAGTTAAAGAGCCCTGAAACAAACGCTTGAGCCCTACCTAAACATGTGCTTGCCTTTCGCTGGCGATCTACTTGCACTCTGCCACATATGTTGACCTTTACGCGGGCTAGAATCACCTGCGGATCAGAACAAGAAAAAGACATTTTAAAAAGCTCAGTTTAAAAATAACATTTTATTTAGATTTTTTTTTCTCAAGAAACCATCTCACGTCTACAATATGATTAAGTTACAGTTAGCAACCTTTTTATGAAGAAAGTTATGCAGTGGTTTAAACAAATTAAGGATGAAGGAAATTTGAACTAACTTCAATCTTGTAACATAAAGAAATGACCGGAGGACATCATCTACGACGGCGCTACTAAACGCACACTTCGAGAGAAATTGGTAAGAATGATATGCATACAGCTGTTCTTCAAACGACCTCTCGCGAGCACAATCTTTGGTCCATGTTAGCTCCGTCAACATGAACCTGTCGCCAAATATTTAAAAACCTACATGAACACTGTGTGAAGATGGCTCGAATGCTTACAAGTGTTTTTCCCGGTTTATTTGATTATTACTGAAGGGTTAAATTGGACTGGTTTTCAGCTCTGCTATCAACAGTCCTTAACGAATATCAGTCATAACATTTTGATACAATATTGTTTTAGGTCGTTAAAACTTTACTGCGGTCACACAAGGGAAACTTCAGCGAAAAGTAAAAACTTTGGGATCTCTTACTTTCTGAATCAAATCCTGAAGGCCAAACAGGGGGTCTCCTGAGCCCAGTCTAAAGAAAAAACATAAAATGGTGTCATTACACATACTACAAGCCAACCAATCGTAGCCAAAGATGGCCATAAAACAAGGAACGGGCATAATGCAATAGAAGTAAAGAACGGGAAGACGGAAAAACAGTCTACATCTGCTGAAAGTCATGCATGTATAAGCTGCAAGCACATAAGAAATGAAACAGTTCTGAAGCGCGGGAATACAAAACTAGTTTTAGGTAAAAAACGCCGGAAACATCAACAATGAGAGCTGTGCTACGCAAGGAAAACGTAGAAAACATGCACAGAGCGCAAATGGCAGAAACAAGAATCTTATGCAAAAGGCGGGAAACTTAACACTATACAGCCGGCCCAAACTCTGGCAAACAAACAACAAAAGTCAAACAAAACAGAAAAATAAACCCAATTTTGGCCCGTAATTTGCTACAAAAATAAGTTGATTTCTCATTTTCTCTTGTGATAAATTGCGAGCACATGAGTGCATGACGTGACCGCCGCAGGCAGGCATTCTAAGGAGAGTTGTATTTCCTTTCTCCCCACAAGTGACGAGGGAGAAAATATGACGTTCTCGAAACGCCTGAGTGAGAGACTATGATATAGCCTGTGCCAGGTTCCTAAGGAAGTCGCGAAAATATAACAAGCGAAAATAAGACGTGCGCGATTTGAGCAAGGGGGCGGCGGCGGTCCGCTCCTTCCCCAAGCCCCACGCATTTTTCGCATCACTTTTTACCGAACGATTGCACTACTGTCTCGGAGCCAGGAGCCTGGAAAAGGCTAAGTATGAGGTAGAATTCGCACAATATTCAAAGAAAGTTGATCAATCAAAGTGACAGAATCAATGTTAAAGTCATACCGTACTCCCAACTTGAGAAACACTGTCAAGATTTTCATCAACTAGGACGTGAATAAAATAGCAAATAATTTGTAAGGGCACAAGAGCTATGCGCAAGAATAAGAACTGTAAAATTCATCAAGTCAAAGAAAATGAAACAGTACCGTTTTGTAAAGCCTGATAAGAATGCGTAAGAAAAAAGAGGTGCTTGAAATAAACCATGTTACACGAAAAAAGGTTTGAATTAAGAATCTGAACAGAAAAGACAAAATAAATTGGATACATTGACCCCCAAAAAAGATAAATGAAGATCTATCAACGTTTTCTTATACTTTTCCCTCAAATGCAACCAAAAACTTTGTAAACATTTCAATGCAAAGTTTCTCCAAGGAATACCCGTGAAAGTAAAGACCTTTCCATTTTTCCTGCTAACAGAGTCTATTGGCAGAGAAGTTTCTTTCTGCGACTGTCTTCGCGATTTAGATAATCACTTAACAAACATACATTGAAAGACCATTACAGTCTTTTTCAACAGCAATAACAGCTTTGAAAACCTTAAATGAAGTGTTCTTACCTTCACTTCCAGAATAAACACTGCCAACTGAAATAGAAGAAATTAAAGATTCAAATACAAACAGCCTTCAGGATGATATACTTTCTAATGTAGCCGTCAAAAGGTCAAAATTCTTACCTTCCGACTTTCGATCACTTGGTTGGCCACTGATAATTCTACAAGAAAAAAAATGGCATAATCGGCGCTTGTATCGTATAGTTTCTACACGCTTCTGAATGGTGATTCCAAAAATAGAACTGAAATCCAAACCATGGTAACCTTAAACAAGAGGCACGGAGGGCCAAGGTTGGATTTTAACCTAGTTTCTTGTAACACCAAGAAGTTTTAGGTAAGAGTCTTGCTTCACACCACTGTTGGCCAAATTATATTCAATAACTGCATCTGAGGGATATAGAGATATCTGGGTTGCCCATACCCTTTACAGAGGATATAACTAGCTTGGAAACTAGGTTGATCGAACGCATATTTGCCTGAAAACGAGGCTGCTTGGGCAAGAATAAACTTGCAGAAATGGCATTTAGGGCTTTCCAAAGACCAAATACTAAGTACCGTAAATCCACCTATTAAAAGAGAGAGGGGGGGGGGGGGTATTACCTTTCTTCCCCAGAAAAGGGAGGGCTTATTTATGGTACCTGAATTTCTGACTTAAACTGAACATAAGAAATGCAAGAATACCAAAAACATCAAACGGGAGGTTGAGGTTGTAAGTAAGAGGGGGGGAGCTGACCGCGAGGGAGGAGGACAATGGCGCAAGAGGAGAGACGAAGAGGCCTCCTCTCTTGCCGCGGCGTGCTCCTGCCACGCAGGGTAGTAAAGTCCTGGGCCGAGTTGTTCAAAGCTGGGTTAAGATAACCCAGGGTTAGTGCGAGATTTGAATTCAGATTTGAAAGCTTAAAAAGCATTTCAGTTTTAATTCTTTTCGTCTACAAGTTGATGATTGGAAGCTCTAAAAACAACAGAGAAAATTATCCGAGAAAAAGCTTTTAAATATAAGAAAAAGAAACCTGGGTTAAATTTAACCCCGGGTTAAGCGCTAATCGGCCTTCGAACAACTGGGCCCTGGGAGTACAATTAAATTTCTTGTTCCACTTACCTGGCACATCTTGCGCATATACTGACTCGTATAGATTCTGATGTGGCCATTCCTTGTTTCATAGACTGCAGGCGGTTGATGAAAAGACAACGAGACAATATTATTTGGGGCAGAAAAGAAAGCACAGCAAACATGTTCTTACATCCTACAAAACAGGCACTAACTGGGTGCCAGAGACTTTTCATGCGCGGTTTCAGGTTTCGGTCACGTCTTTTGAATATCGGCTAAATTTTCAAAGTATCTTTTTGCAAAGTTAAAATTCACAGTGCTTTTTGCAAGTTTTGCCAAAGTTTTGAAATTAATGTTTTTAAGCAATAAAGATGCATTCAGCCGCACGCGAGAAAAAAGCTCTGGTACCCAGGTTAATCATGATTTTTCATAATATTATCCAGGTTCTTGAAATAATGACTGCAGCAGATTCCAAATCCACGAATGAGGTAAACCAAGGAAAACAAAGGAGTCAAAATAACTGAGCCTAGAATAATGACAGCGATAAAACAAGGAAAAGTGACAGGTTTTGCACAAAGACGGTATAGAAAATGTCACTGAATAAGGTCAAAAACTCTTCTTGCCCTAGCATGGCTTACAAGAGCTCAAACAAAAATTTTGAACAGGACTTGTAATTGCTGGTCGCTCCTCAACATTTCATAAGTTGCTTAAGATTACCATCGTGCTTGATTTTCATTCTCTTAACGAGTAGTAAAGCAGAAGATATTTCTTTTGTTTTGCTCCTTATGCTCAAAGAAGCCAAAGAAGTTCACATCAATTTAGCAAGGGTAGTTGACCCCGCTTCTAAACATCAACATTAATATTATAGCTACAAGAAGTCTCTGCTCTTGGTTTAGTCATTGCTACTGGGTCTTAGACAGAGTACAGGAAGACTTCTTAATGGTGGAGAACAAAGCAGAAGATTGTTTCAGCTTATCACAAAGCATAGGAAAGACTTTGAGCAAAAACCAAACAAAAACTACCTTGGATAACTTTGTTCCAGTGCTACTCATGCTGGACACACCTTCATCTTCTAACTCATCCACATTTTCTAGAGAATAGAAAAAAAGCTTAATACCACTCAATGATGATTTTCCAAAAATTTAACACTTTTGTCAAACTACCCAACAAGCAAACAAACTTGTCCGCTTAAAAGAGGAGTCAGCTAAATTATCCTAAGAGTATCAATACATCATCAACAGGTTATGAGAACTTATAAAATGGTCACTAAGGGGAAAATGCTTCGATCTTTTACCAAATTCTCTCAACTAATTCAGAGATCAGTTTGAAGAATTTTTATGGAGATAATGGGTTGTGTCCTCTTATAGCATGTGTCCACCTACATGTACTGTACAGCAGAAAGTTTCCTAGTTCATATATTTTTAAAAATGTCACTGTTTTTCAGTGCAAGATAATGTCAGAAGAAAGTGTATTTTTGATCCATACCTAACAATTCAGTGCCATCATCATGTAGGTCATCAAAATTCATCCCATGATCACGCCTCCCTGGATTCTTATTTTGAAGAAGAGCCTGTAGTTGTCGGCGATGCTCCTCGGCAGCATGTCGGGCCTTTTGTTTCCGTGATCTACTGGACCTACCATATAAAGCAAGTATTAAATTATGAAATAAGGCAACAAGGTAAGGCAAGTGATCACTCCACATTTTCCTGTGAGTGCCAAGAGAATGTTCTAGCCTGCATAGCATGGCAGTTTTGTTGGGAGCACTACTGAGCGCGTAGCTGCAAAATGCACGCAAAGTGCGTGCAAACGAGCAGCAAAGCCTTGAGGCTTCTATGCCCTCACCCACCTTTATTACTTTGCATACTCAACCAAAACTGCCATGCTATGCAGGCTAAGAATGTTCAAAAACCTTGTGCACAGCCAGGATGTACTAACCCATAGAATGGTGGTGTGCACTGCTCACCTCTGCCACCCTCCACCCCACCACCATAAAAAAGATGGTGCTTCATTAAGCCTCCTCTCTATCACTATTGGAAAAAAGGGTGACTGAGATGTAAATATCCCAGCCCGTGGTGCTGTTTGTCCAAAAGTTTCGTGCAAACAAAATATTAACTTTGATCTTATTTCCCCTGAGGCTAAAAATTTGAGGGCATCAGGCTCATCAAATGAGCACCCCATGACCCCTAGTCAAGGTGGATCTTCAATGTGTACACTCAGTAAGTCAAGTTTTGACCACTGCATTCAAGTTTGAATTTAAAGCACAGAGAGAGAAGACTGTCACTAAGAATTTAAGTTGCAGGGTAAACACAACAAGTAGGCAAGAAATCAAACAGCACTGAAAATTTCTTTGGTTCTATTTTTAGTGAACTTTTTTGAAAGTTGCCAGTGGTAGCCTTCAATGGTAGCCAGGGAAATTCCCCCGCTTAACAACAGCCCTTAGTACAGGCAGGGCAGGCTTAACGAACCGAAAGCTACAACCAGCTACAAAAAAACTTGAGACACCGTACTTTTTTTTTGGCTTTACTGACCTGCTTGTGGTCCCCTCCTTCCCTTTATATCAAAGTTGCTAGCAATACAATAAATTATTGACCATGCTCAAAATGTGGGGGAACAACTTTAAATGGAGGGGAGGAGAGAGGTGAGTATAATATCTCACAGAGGTAACATAAAGCAAAATATAAACATACTCATGTGATATCACTGATGGTGTGTTCCTATCATCCTTGATTCTATCATCTCTCCCCACGTAAAGCTCTTCATCAAGATCATCATCAGCATAACTCTCAGGGCCTGTTAGTGTTGTTCGTCTGTTGTAGATCACTGTTCTTTCTGCTGGCATTTCCTGTAAGATAATAAGTGAAAGGGGAAATGTTGCAGATAAAATCTGTTGTCAGGTAACAAACCGGAGTTTTCTTATTTTGTCTCCTATGAATAATTAGGGCCAGGAAACAAAGGGAATTCTGAATCAAACTAAGTTAAATGCTAATTCAACCTGAGATCAGTTTTACCTACAACAGGAACACTATTCACAATACACCTGTTCCTTAAGCAAAAAGTATTGGACACCACTTAAACAATACCAGAAATTGAAAGAGTATGAGAAAAATAGCTAAAATTAGAAGGCCTGAATTTTGAAAGACACATATTAGACCAACATCTTATTCATAGAATTTCTCCACACATTTCCTCAAAGAATTACTTAAGAGAATTTAATAAAAGATCACAGCATTAAACCTTACGTGATCGTTTTATTAATTTTCATAATCTTTTCTATTAGAAGAAATTTGTTGTTGATCACTCTTGGGTTACACGTTTAAGGGGGTGTTTTGGGTTAATAATTTTATTATTAGCCTGGGAAAGCTTGGAGAATTTTGGTGGTTAAGTCTAGAGTAAGGTTGCAAAGTGCAGCTGAATATTTCTTTTTATGACAGGTGCAATGGCTGTACAAGAAATGAGCTATGCTTTAATTTCGATATTAACCATGATGTTGATCTCACCATTTCACCATTTTGTCCCCATGAAGAAGCTGAAAGGAAAATACAGTTTAAATATCAGCTTACAATTGCACAACATTAATTAGCAAGACCAACTAAAACAAAAGTAAGAGGTAATTAATTTACCTCTCACTTATATCAACTGTCAGTCAGTTTTTTAAGATACTGTCATCATTAAGCATTTTTTCTTTTTCAGTACTAAATAATAGCCTGGGAAAATAGCCAACATTTGGTGACGCTACCATTGGTTTCCCCGCCAAATGACATTGGAGAAACAACTGCAGAAATTCCATACTGATGATGCGTCACTACCCAGATCTGGGTAGTGCTTCTGATTGGTCGTGCCACATGGGAAATTTGATTCATCAGAAGGACTACCCAGATCTGGATAGTGATGCATCATCAGTGTGGAATTTCTACTGCTCGTTTCTCAGACATTATTTGGCGGGGTAAGCCAGTGGTAGCGTCGCCAAATGTCAGCTCTTCTCTCAGGCTATACTAAAGAAAGATAATATTTTATTTAGAGTATGATTTAGAAGTGGAAACAAACTGGAACTCAACGAAAACTCACTGGAAAACATGTTAGAAGTATCCTAGCCACAGTACAAACCTATTTATATTCATGCTTTAAATTTATTCATTATATAGTTAAGTTCAATGTAGGTTACTTACTCCCTTGGTAACCCAGGGTACCCTCATCAGCAGTCCCGGTTGGCCTGTGCTGCATATTGAACCACTCATCAAAGTCATGTGAAGGAACAGCTGTTTTGCTATTCCACGGAGGTCGTTCGTTGTTGCCCACTACAATCAAAGAAGCCAACATTAATCTTACTGTTTAAATATAAGATCCCTATTTAAGGTGTTTCAGTACAGTTTTTTGGAGACCATACCAATGTTTTTCAATCACGGTGACCTTAAAAGTGGTCTACGAAAAACTGTATCGAAACAAAATGAGCTATATACTGTAGGCCCAATATTTAGGAATAACCACAGGATTTCGGACATCTAAACATTAACATCAGTCCTGTCAGTATACCTGTTCTAAGTGGTCGCATGTTGTCCTTGTCCACAGCTCCACCACCCTTTCCAGACTTGCTCGAACCACTCAGCCAGGGTCGCGGGTAATCTCGACCAGCTTTGGAGGCACTGCTAGGTCGGTATTTTGATCCCTCAGTACGGATATCCGGCCCCGCCCAGGATTTGGCTAATGCATTTCTACCTTCATCAAATGAATGCCTCCCCACTGATGTTCCCATAAGGCCCATTGATCTTGTAAATGTTGCCTTTGATCCTGATGGTGGGAGAGATGACCCAGGATCCTGCATAATCAACAGATAAATGATGTCTTAATGTAAAAATACCACAGTAAATAATAGCATTGTGTATCAAGAGTTGAGTAATAAAAGCATGTCATCTAACATCTGCAAAATACTATAATTTATTGAGAGCAAATTGAAAGAAACAAATAAAAACAACTGTACCTTAGAACTCCCTTCAGCATACATCTTTTTTAAGACTTTGATAAGAAAAGGAACTGGTTCTTCAGGTGTATCTTTGATGATTTTTGCCATCAGATCCTGAAAAAAATTCAATAAGTTTCTTTCAGTATCATTTAGGTCCAGTTGAAACACAGTACAACAACACCCCTGTACTGGACCAAACTTAACAACAGTTTTAGTTTGGTTTAAATGAAGATGTGATTGTCGCAGTGGTAATTGCAATTTAAGCAATATATTGCAAATTACCAAATTTCCTCGTACAAATAACAGCCACCACTCGATTAATCACCTCCCTCGAATAATCCCCCCCCAACTCCCATAGGTTACCCGCAAAGGATACCCATAGTGTTAAACTTGGAGGATGAACCTAAAGTGGAGTCTCATTCAGCAAAACTGATCAGTGATGATTCAAGCTCTGATGCTGAGGACATTGACATTGAAAATTAATCAAGGAACCAAATTGGGAACACTTAAAATGCCAATGTTCAGTTTATTTCACGTGATTACTTTTTTTATTTTATGGGAAAATAGAACAAAATATTTAGGGCTCTACTTCTAGTGAGCTATATTCGAAATAATGGCCTCCCTCAAATTATTGCCCCTTTCTGGTGTGAAAAAAGAAATAATCAACACTGGCTATTATTTGAGGAAATACAGTCACCCCAAAAAATTTCAGGACTTCAACAGGGTCTAGCCCATGGCCTCTACATTAGCGCTACAGTGCTCTCCTAACTGAGCTATGAAGACCCAAACATTTGGAGCAGGCCAATTTGTTGCGTTCATCTTAACCCATGACAGGAATGAAACATAGAAATAAAAGAGTGAAGATGATGTGAACTGCGGAAATACACATTTGTAGTTTGGTGTGTAGCACACGACATTAACTTCAGCAGAGGCTGTCATTATATTATAATATCACACTCTGGGGTTTGCAAACGTCATTGTGCAAATGCCCAGGAGTTCCCTGGATCAACCCTCCCAGAATAACACTGATAAGTGCATTACACTATTATTACTATCAGTATCATTATTATTATTATCATTATCATGATAATATTATTATCATTGTTATGATTTTCTTTAATAAATCTTTATTATTATTATCATCATCGTCATTGTCATCATCAGCATCATCACTATTATCATCATCATTATCATTGTTATTGTTGTTATTGAGCCTAACATTGACAAAGAATTGGTATTAACTTTACTTTTCACAAAATATTAATGTACAACAACGATGACAACACTGCAACAAAAACCAAAGTTGTTTGGTGCAAGATGCTTTCCAATATGTTTGTGTAATTAAAAAAAAACGAAAGAAAGAAAGAAAGAAAGAAGGAAACTGAATATATTTTAGCAGTGATCCCCATGCCAGTAAGGTGAAAATACGACGTGTAAGGCTCTTTGTACGACAAACACGGCAAAATGTTTAAACTTGAAGGTATTCTAGTTGCATAATTTAAATTATGTCATAACAATAAACGTAAACAGTAAAAGGAACAGCGTGACGGTAAGCGTCGTGAACATGATAAGCACTTAAGCTTAATATTGTTTCGAATGAAACTCCCACCAAACAAACAGTGGGTTTTTATTTACGATCTTAAAATCGTTACCTCAAATAACGCTCCAATGTGATGCCTCTCTAAGTAAGCTTGTACTTGTTTAGCAGCCATGCTTTAAAATAAATCACACGCACTCTAACAAGGCAAATGTTTGTTTATGAAAGCTATGTGTTATTTTCCGCCATTTTGTATTTCCCCGGTAACCCTTCCCAAGCTTCCCTGCTGCTTTGAAAGTGACCGCTAAGAGCTGTGGGAGTGTGACATTTGAGAGACACTTTGGTTCAGCATATATGACCAAAGAGGGGGTATTGGTGAGGTTTCGGCCGGGAAGTGCGATCGATACGTGCATGTAGTAGTGGACGATGTTGTCTGCCCGAAAAGCGGTTAGTATCCTAGGACGAAGAGGGCGATTTGCAGCCCTGAGGACAAGCGTCTGTGAGCTGCATTCATTGATTCAACGACGAACGGTTGTAATTTGTTGCCCGAGGTAAGTTTGATGCAGATAGGTGGCGACCGCCATGCATGATTCGATCACTGGACGTTCTTGCACATTTAGACTTCGATATTGCATGAATAATCTTTAGCTTATATGCGAGCGTAGATGTCAGCAAATATATACGTAGATCTGATTTTATTTAGTTAAACTATTAAAAATCTGAGATAAGATTAAGATCGTTGGGTTTTTGTGCGAGATGTTTTGGTGGTAATTGGACTACATATTTAAGCTTAGTCGACCGTACCGTGCCTATACAGTTCCGATTATATAAGAGGTGAGCTTGGGTGCACGCAGTTGTGAAATGTTTCTTCGAATATTTAATTTGATCTGGTAAGATTCCCGTACAGTCCCATACATTTATCATGCATTGTTTCAATTCCAATTCATATTTGTGCGAAAACCTGTGAAGTTGCTGCATGCACAGTAAATGTAGGGGGTTGTACGGAAATCTTACCCCCTAGCAAATCTCATGACTTCGGGCTATATGTGTGTTATGATCTATTTTGTTTACATGTAGAGGCCCTTCAAATGATCCAGCCAGGCCAACCAAAAAGTGGCAGAGATAGACTGCCACACTCACGGCATACAGCTGTACATATATATCCCCTACTCTTTAGAATAGTGTGTGGGTTCTTTAATAGGGACCTTAAGCAAAGACGTTTTTGAGCGATGCACGTCAACCAGAAGTGAGGCCTTCTCCCTTTTTATATGCCTTGATGCTAACAAACTTGTATTGCTGAGTTTCTTTTCTCTTTTAAAAGACGATTTACCCGAGAGTTTCAACCAAGCCGCTCCCCAATAATGCAAAGAGTCCACTTCCGGTTGACATCCGTCACTCAAAAATGCTGTTGCTTAAGCTCCCTAATGTCCCACACAATTTAAGTGGGCCAAGGTTGTGAGGCGGGATCTACAGTTAATCCAAGAAGATTAGAGAGTCTTAGAACCAGGGCTCGAAAAAAGTCCCATCTGTTAGTCTTGGACAAGTAGATTTTTTTGCTGGGCAACTAACTTTTAATACTTACTTGCACAATGGGCAATTATTAACCCTTTAAACCCTAAGATCAAAAACTGAATTCTCATTTGTTGCCCCTATTCATCTCCCACAGAAGTAATGGTGAGAAATTGATAAAAATAATAATATCAAGCAAATTCATCTTGTGCGATCATGTCTATAATTCTCATGACCACTCTGTTTTGCAAAGCATTGCTATTACAAGGAGAAATTTGATGCTGATCACTCTCAGGGTTTAAAGGGTTAAAGGTCCAGGCAAGTAATCCTTTGACAAGATCATTAGCTAAGACAAACAAGAAGTGACCCCAGGCAAGCAAAATGTGCAAACTTCTTGCCTAAATGACAAGCTGGAGTTCAAATTTATTTGAGTTTGAGTGGGAGAGGGAGGGGGGTGGGGTGGGTGCTTATCCAAGACTTGGCGCTTATTTGAATAAATACAGTAGTTAAGACCCTTAGTGTGAGTGTGGGTCTGGCCAGGCTCTGAACCCATAGCCTTCTGCTCAGTAGACTGGCAATCAACCATGGATCCATAATAACCACAGTCTCTGGTCACATTTGTAAATCTCTTAATGCTGCTGAAGGTACATAAAGATATTACCAGAGATGCAGACTTATTTTGATTTTTTTATGTAAATCAGTCAATTTTTAGTAAAAGATATCTCCACGATAGAATTTTTTTAAAGGTTACATAATGTATAAATTTCTTCTTTTAGGTATTCAACTGGCTCTAGACAGGTGTTATCTTCAAATCTTTCAAGATATGGCTTTCGGTGGCTCAGCTCAGAAAGTGAGTTTTCGTGAGTTAATTGACAGTGTGCAGGGTTGGACACTTAATTTTGAGAGCACTCGCCATTCGGGCGAGTAACCCTCAAAATGCACTCGCCCGGATAAGTTTTCACTCGCCCATTTTTTGGACAATTTGGAGTATAAAACTTTGCCATACAGATATGGACTATGGTAAGTTTGTGTTTAGAGATTTCTCGGCAAAACAGAATATAAAAAACATCGTTTATTTTGCAATTTAATCAATTTCTTGGCGATGAAAAATCGCACTCGCCAAACGGGCGAGTGATCTGTGATTTGCACTCGCCCGACACTTTTGACACTCGCCTGGGCGAGCAGGCGAGCGCTAATGTCCAACCCTGAGTGTGGTTGTGTGGAAATACATGCAGATCTCTTCCAGTGGGTCTAGGAGGCCAGTTGATCTAAGGGTTAAGTTAGAACCATTAACTTGTCACTGGAATAAATGTGAATAAAGCAGTTCTCCTGATATGGGTCTAAATTTCTTCACTGTAACTAGCGTACAGGTATGTGTCTGCATCACGTCTGAGTTGACACTTCCCTCTGACCTGCACTATAGGGTTAATTATGGGTTTGTGAAGTGTCATGCTAACTTGAAGGTCTTTGGATTGCAACGCTTTAAACCCCAATATCCACATACAAATTCTCCCGCCTGATCTCCATACATTTGCTTAAAAAGCTTGTTGAGAGTTTGATAGAAGATCAAAACACTTTCCCTTTGGTGATCATTTTATTAAATTTATTCTTACCAGTAGACCAAAAGAACTCCCCAGCTGTTTAATTTCCCCCTTCTAATAATATTGATTTACCCAGCAACTTGAGTGGCAGCTCCGATCTGGTCCAGCTATAAGTGAAACAACTTTAACAGTACTTTCAGTTGTTGCCACTGATTTTTTAATACTTGTTTAAACTATTCACAGTCCCCTATTTTTCTGTAAGATTATTAAAATCAAGCACTTTGGACAATTGCTGGCTCTCTTGATTTCAAATGTTTCAAGTCTAGCCTGGGATGAGTGTCAAATCTGCTTAGGGGATGAGCAACGGTTTGGGAGGAGGCAAGAAAAATAGAAATTTGCCTCTCTGCCACTACTGTATAAACCCCCGATGCTGATCCCCTTTGTACATATGAAACCATGATGGCTGCCCATAACTCATAGCTCTCAAACTTGATGATATTATGGGGAAATAAGGGGAAATACTCATCATTATCTCATGAGTCAATTTCTAATAAAATTCATACATTCCCTCTTTAATAACAGGTCTCCCTCCTCACACAAATGTACCATTACCAGCACTCTCTCCCACAATGGAGATGGGGACAATTGTCAGCTGGGAAAAACAGGAAGGTGATGAGTTAAGTGAAGGAGATCTTTTAGCTCAGATTGAAACAGACAAGGCCACAATGGACTTTGAGACCCCTGAGGAAGGCTTTCTGGCCAAGATTTTAATTCCCGCAGGAAGTAAGGATATTCCTATTGGCAAACTGCTCTGTATAATTGTGGAAAATAAAGATGATGTTGATGCATTCAAAAACTATGTTCCTGAAGAAGATGGACCAGCTTCAGTAAGTAGTGCAATCAGTATTTTTTTTTCTTCCGGCTCGCAGATTCAACATACTGATTGTAAAGCATGCTCCCTTGTCCCCTGTTTTCTTATGAAAGTACAGTCATTTAAAGACTATTTTCAATTCAGGTGTAATATTGTTGGCACTTTTAGCACTGGATATAGTTATAATATGCTTTTACATTTTCTGTACCTCATGATCACCTTTCTTCAAATGCTAATAATAAAACCAGCTTAAGTGTGATGTCATGAAACCAAAGGACAGTGTACGTATAAAATAATTTTGAGAGATTCAGAATATAGATAGTCTACACCAAGTAACCCACTATCTGATTAAAAAGATCATAGTAAGTAAGTAAGTAAAGCCTTTATTTAAAGAGGGTAGCACCTAATAGCCAAAGGCTAATAAAGTTGTGGCCCTCATAAAATACACAACTATTTACAATGTAATAAATATTGTAAGCTAAAATATATAAACATTTAAAATAAAACAAGATTCCATTTTTTATATTAAAAAAAAAAAAAGTAGTGTCATTGAGTAACTTATAAGTAAGTGTCATTGTTTCTTCATAATTATTTATCTATTTTTTTTTGTTTTCAGGAGAAACCTGCTGAGGCCACCACTCCACCCCCTCCTCCACCACCTCCTCCAGCTTCATCTGCAGCCCCGCCCCCTCCCCCACCTATGACTTCTGCCTCTCCACCCCCTCCTCCCCCACCTGCAGCTGGTGGGAGAGTGTTTGCCAGTCCATTGGCAAAGAAGATTGCAAGGGAAAAAGGCATTGAATTGGCTGTAAGTATTTACTTTTCTTTCCTCTTTAGGGAATTTTTTCAGTTATTTAACTAAAAACCGCGAATCAAGCTACACTGTAAATGGGAGGAGTAAGGCCCCTAATGACTTATGATGTGATCATGTAACACTTTCCTTTTGTTTGATTGTGATTTACATTCAATTTGAATGGAAAAGGAAATGGTTATAATTAATCTATATATAATCTAATCTAAATGTAACCAAAAATGTTTCAAGATTGCTGGTGAGATTGTGATGTAAGAACACTGTTCTTGTACTATTTCTTTGGAACACATCTTACTGTCTATAGTGGACAAAGCAAAACATTTCTGTCAGTGCTAAGGTTGTCTGTATCTGTTTCTAGGCTCTTCAGGGTAGTGGTCCCGGTGGCCGAGTGGTGGCGCAAGATGTTACTGTGGCAACACCTGCTGTTGCAGCAGTGGCACCCACTCCTGTGGTTGCGCCTGGTGAGTTTTGATTGGCTAGAATGTGTTGTGTTTAGCAGACCAGGGTTGTCAGAAAGTTTTGAAGTAGACGGCTGAGTTGTCAAAGTAAGCGGCCAGTCCAGGGATATTTTATTTTAAAAAAAGCCATCCTTAAAGAAATGCTAAGCAGAGTAGCTGGCTGATACTAACCAAGTAGGCGGCGATTTTCACCGGCAGCCGGCTACTTTTGACAACCCTGGCAAACTCTCAGCTTTTTGTTTGTTTGTTTGAACTTCTATGCTATTTCTTCAATGTTCATACCATTTTATGACTTCATAACACGGTGATGACACTGTTGTACTATTAATGTCATTTACAAACATGAAAAGAAATAAAGCAAGTACAAATGATAGTTATGAAACTGCTCATTTTTCATCATTGACCTTGAATGTGAAAATCCTTTTATTGTTTTACAGGAGCAGATTTTACCGATATTCCTCTTACAAATGTCAGGAAGGTGGGTTTAATAAGCAAGTGTTCTCATTAAGGGATGTCAATAGTGAGTGGGTAGATACAAATAGTAGGCAGAGAATTGAACTGTTACAAAGTCCTTTTGCATTTATTTTCCCTATTAAAGTTTCTTCTGAATATAACGAGGGATACTTATGGTAGCCAGGGTAATTCCCAGCCCTGAAGACAGCTATAGACCGCTCAAGTCTTTCCACTTATCATTTCATCAAATTAAAGCTTGAGAAACTAGTGAGTGAGTATATGAAAGTAGTCCTCAGTAGCCTGCTAGAAATCTCTCTGGGTTACTTTGGTGGCGGGGCAAACCATTTTTTGCCCTCCTGCAAGAGCTCCCTGGAGAGCTTGCTAGCAGGCTACGACAACAGTAATTATATCAAAAGTATTGATAATTTTTCTTCTCTTAAACTGTATTGCTAGGTCATCGCTAAACGGCTCTTGGAATCCAAGCAAACTATTCCTCATTATTACCTTTCAGTGGATATCCAAGTGGATGATTTGTTAGAGTGAGTTTATTTCTCTGTTTACTGATAATAATTTTACAGTGCAAAAGTTGTTTTATTTTTATTATTGCATTTGACAGCCACCTATAAGAATCAGCCTACTGATTAAATAAAACCTGTTGGCCAAAATTTGACATTTAAAATTACTGTAAATCCTCTATTAAGGCCCCTGAGATGCCTATTTTTTTTCATGCACATTTCATGGGGCCTAGTAGGGACAGGCCAGGGGCTTGAGAGGGGGGGCTTGTCATAAAGAGCTAGAACATATTTAGTGGAAAACCTCAAGCACATGTAGTTGGAAGTCACGCAGCGAGAGATCAAGAACAAATATGAACTTCCGGCATATGAATAGCCAGACCGGATCAGTCTATGTCATGTGCCTTAGAGTAATTCAGTCTATCATTTATTAAGGAGGGAAGTGGGGGGGGGGGGGGCTTAAAAAAGGGGGTTATTAACATTGTTCCCCTGAAAGTGGTGGCTTATTAGAGAGGGGGGTTATTTTTGAGGGGTGGGGGGCCTAATAGAGAATTTATAGTATAGATTTGGGTCGTATTCTTATTTGAAATCAGCAAGAATTAAATCAGGGATATTAGAGCAGGGTGTATTTGGTCCAATTTTTCAGCCGGTCAAAAATTTGTCTGGCACCATATGATCGGAGCCCCCTTTTGCCAAATTTTTTATACTCAAGTGATTTTCCTTTTTCAGAGTCCGAAAGCAGCTGAATCTGGATTCAAATGGTGCATACAAATTGTCAGTGAATGACTTTGTCCTTAAGGCCTGCGCTCTAGCTTGTAAAAAAGTTCCCGAGGCAAACTCTTCGTGGATGACAGACTTCATAAGACAGTAAGTTTATCTCCGGAAATGAAATAATTTTTATATCCTTCTCTTTCCCGGGGGAAGCATGGTCGAGTGGTCAGTGCGTCAGACTCACAATCCGGTGCTCCTCTGTTCAAGTCCCACTCTGGCCACTTGCTGGATTTGTGCTCGGTCGTCCCGAGTTTAAATCCTCGGCCAAGCTTGTAAATAGCCAACTGGTTGCCTCCTGCCAGTTGGGGCTTTTAATGCTTTTATGTTACATTTGAATTATTTGTTTCTAAGTATTTGATTGGAGTGCCTGTAAACTAGCTGGATAAGCTAAGTGCACTTCCCTCTATTGACAAGCCTTTAAACCTTTTTTAACTTTTTTTCCTTTCTACAGCGTCCCTAAATATTGGGCCACAAGAAACTGGCTTGAGTTCCCTTTGACGCAATAATAAAGTGATACAAAGTTGACTTGTACCCCTATCTATTTGAAGCTGACAACCAACCCTTTAACTCCATAATTTTCTTATGGTATTAATGAAGAGCATACCCTTTTGCAGACACAATAACGTTGACATTAGTGTAGCTGTCAGTACGGAATCAGGACTTATTACACCGATTGTCTTCAATGCAGATAAAAAGGTACTGTACTAAAATGATACACATTTATATTCTGTGCTGCATGGTAAAAATGGTGTACACAATACTAATTCAGCTGAGCTTATTGTTCAAAGAAACGCTGTGATTATACTCGATGGGTGTAAAAATTTTACCCAAATCACCTTTAGAACAAAAAGGCTATCTCATTTTGTTGCTGACGTCTTGAAAGCAATACGAACAGTTAGTAATTTTTTTTTTCGGAAAACGTGTTGATACATTATGCTACCACTCAAACTCAACTTTCTCCACTGTTTATTTTAAACTTTGTCCAATTACCTCTGTCAGGGTTTACAAGACATAAGTGCTGACACCAATGCTCTAGCAGAGAAAGCGAGGGATAACAAACTTCAACCTCATGAATTCCAAGGAGGAACAATAACAGTATCAAATCTCGGCATGTACGGAGTCAAGAACTTTTCTGCAATCATAAACCCACCTCAAGTAAGTGTGCAAATGTGCGGTATTTATCATGAACATGCTGGGAAAACCTGAAATTCCGGTTGAAAAGTCAGACCAGGTACACACGAATCCGGAAATTGATGAACCCGCATATTTTTTTTTTAACCGGATTGAGTTTCTCTCCTCCGCAAGGGCCTCTTTATTTGTACGGAGGCTACGAAGAGGGAAAATGATCGCGTGCGGGGGACGTTCCCGTGCTAATCTCTTTCACAGCCGCTCGGGCCGGAGTCACACAATGGGGGCGGGGAACATTGCGTGACTCCGGCCTTAGCGGCTGCGAAGGAAACTATTCCTGCGCTTGCTGTTTTTTTGTTATTATTACTGCTACAACGGTTACTCAAGGATCGGTGTTTTACAAGTGACAAAATTCCTTAAAGAGTAAACTCCATGATACATTTTCGTTAGTCGTTTTGTTTGGACGTGCTTCAAACCATCATCATCACGGCCCTGTTTTAGACTAGTAGCATTTCGTCCAGATGGTAGTCCTGCCGAGCCTCCACTACTCTGGGTACCACAGGCTTTTTTTTTCTTGCAGACGGCCGAATCCGTTGGTGTCGGCTAAAAGCCGAAGCCACGATCAGCGGGAAGTCTGGTGGGGCGGGGTTCTCAACAAAGTTTAAGTCTCACACTGGAAGGGTGCAACCTCTTACCCCAGCTATGTACCATTTTTGATAGCGAAGGTACCCCTTTTTGTATCTCTTCCATTGACAAATACCTAGTTTAGAACGTCTTTTCATCCCTTTTAACCGCTGTAGATGCACTATCTTTAGAATATGAAAAAGTCACAAAACCAATACATTTTTCGACTTTTTCAGAGCCATAATTTCTTCTATTAGCCCTCTTAGGCCCGATTCAGACGCCGGACCTAATTCGAATTAAGGCCGACCCAAACTATTAAGAACGGCTGAATTGATTCAGACGCTGACCTTAATTGCAGCTGAAATAAATTCCGAAAACAAGAAAAATGCTCATTTCGGTCAAACTGCCTACAAAATACGTTATAATAGTTTATGCATTAGCTTTGGTACATGAAAATTTTGGCGTCTGAATCAAAGCCGTTCCAAAGTCGCTCCAAAGGCGAAATTCCCGACCGGGCTAGGCGAAAAGAGCGACTGAGCCGTTCCAAATTGAAACAGGCGTTCCTAACTGATTCAGACGCCGAACGTTCCATGCACTTAATTCAATTTATTAGGTTCGGCTCATGAAAAGTGCGGCGTCTGAACCGGGCCTTGGGTCTTTTTGCAGACGGAAAGACAGATTACCCTACCATTTTATATTCTTCAACTAGTGAAATCCCAATCTCGTTCCCAGGTTCTCTATCAGGTTTGTGAAATCCCAACCCTTTCATATACCAGAAGCCTGGAAAAGGTACCCCTTTCGGGAGAAGCATTCCCGTATAGGCCATTATAGGGAGTACCCCCCGGGGGCGAAAAGTCTCGAGCATATAGGGTAAGCCTCGACTCGATTGACTGAAAGAGTCTGCTCGCAGACTTACCCGGTTAAAGCAACGAAGGCTGTCTTTTGATGATATAAACAAGCTCCAGTACATAGATACAGTGCATTACCCGTCCGTTGTCGTTTTTCCCTTTTCATAGGCCTGCATATTGGCAGTAGGAAAAGCAGAGAAGCAAGTCATAGTAGATGAAAATAGCGAAAAAGGGTAAGTTGGTTAAACATGTTTATAGCTTTCAAGAAAGTTTTATCGTGATTCAGCTTGCGCTAGAGGCTCATCTGCGGCTCAGGAATCAGGTACATAATCCTTAACGCAACTCAGGGAACCCATGAAAACTGACCCTTTTTGTTTTTGCTTTGGAATAGCCGCCAGCTAATAAGAAGTTGTTGTTGTTGCTCACCCCAGTCAATGTCGGGGACTCTCGCCGATCTCGTTCCCATTAGAGCTCGCGTGTTTTATGCGCGCACGCTTTGCACGTCTGTTACTCATCTGACTACAATTCTCAAACGCTCGGCCAATAACTAAAAGTTTCCCATTGCACAGCGGCAAGAAGTTATTCAGGCCAATCACACTTCGTGCTGAAATTGAAATAAACCAATCACATCTCGAAGCAAACACATGTAGCTGTTGTCAATCGCGGGCAACTGCATGTGACCATTTTTTTTCTTCTGATTGGTCAAGTTTTTGACACATCAGAAGTTAAACATTTTCCCGCGCTTGACGATAGCTGCATGGATTTGCTTCGTGATGTGATTGGTTGAACTCAATTTCTTTGAAAGGCCAATAGCCAATCGCAATTGTATCGACCAGTCCGTGTGCTGATAATCTGTCTTCTTATTCTCAACAGTTACACCACTGGAACAGTCATGTCTGTTACTCTCAGCTGCGATCACCGAGTTGTAGATGGCGCCGTTGGAGCGCAGTGGCTGTCCGCTTTCAAAAACTATCTAGAAAAACCCCTTACAATGTTGTTGTAAAATACGACTTAAATAGAGCCTATCGTAGTTCTTCTGAATTTTTATTTCAACTCGGGTAGAAAAATTGTTAAAACTGCTGGAAAGAGAGCCTTAAAATAGAAAACCGTGTGTCTTGTTTATAAGAGATGAAGTAGGTAAATTTATTTTTTGTATGTTTGTATTTTTACAGACGTATACGTGATGTTAGGACTTTTTTCTGTTCGTTTTCCGTAGTTCGTGCCTTTAGAAAGCAAGCACTTACAAATTCTCTAGGCCTTATCCGTTGTTTTTACGATGTTTTGAAGTCCATATTTGCAAGGTCTTCATATTTTAGGTAACTCTTTCTAGCTGTACTAATGGTCTCTCTGGTCGAAACAAACATTAACAATTTAGGGAAAAATACCATGAGACGCTGTGTTCAACCGGACGGGTAATCCTCGAATGAAAAATGATTAAGGTTTACGGCAGCCTTCTGTGGGCGCAAAAGATGCTAAGACCTATACGTTAGAGAGGTTTGACATGATTACTGTGTCGATACTGTGGTGTTTGGGAACAAAGTTGAAATGCTTGAAGTGGAAAGCAAGACAGTCTATCGCGATTGATAAGTTTAATCAACCAAATGTGTATATTTTTAACCAGATTTGGGCAGAACAAATAAACATAAAAAATGCCTTGAAATGTGGCTTGCTGACATCACGGCGTCCTCGTATTCTTTATTGCTACTTTAACAACTATTTTCCGCAAGAGAAAGTCTTCTACATGAACAGAGGCGCGGAGTCTTTTTCAAACCACCGATGTTGAATATGTACAACACTCAATCGATATTGGAGGTAAAAAATAACAATCTACCATGTTATTACTGTTGTTTACCATTTATATGGGAAAACCGCCGGAATCGCATTAACCATTTGTACAAATTTTTAATTTAGTTAAATGCATTCGCCACAACAATTACAATGATGAATAATAACAAATAAATCAGTTCCATTTACCGAAAAACGGCCGCGAAGCCTGAAACTGGTATCAGAGATGGCTTTGAAAAAATAGAACACGAATTTCCGTTTGGAATATTCTGTACAGAAAAGTAGGACTACCTTTTCAGATGTCCCGCTACGCCTGGGAATTTTCGCTGGAAAGGCCCAAAAAGTCGTTTTTTATTTACCTTCCGGCCGGATTTTCTGGAAACTTTTCATAACTGTAAATGGTAAGCAACCTACGCATCCCTCTTTAAATATGATTATTGTAATGGCCGGTGTCCGGTTACTTGCAAGACTGAGTCAATGTCGAGTCGAAATGCCCTATGGGACTGTTTTGGGGATGCTATCACTTCTTACGGAACTGCATAGGAAACTGGAGAAAAATTCATGACCCAAGACAGTCCCATAGTGCTATTCAGCACAACATCGACCCAGTCTCTACTCTCTGTCAAGCCTCAATCACAAATTGGCCAATTCCCCTCTCCAGAAACTCTAGGAAGAATGGGTACTAGCTTTTGGCGCCGTGATTTCTGGGATAGTTTGGGTGGACGAGCGTTAGTTATGATTGGTGGATGATGATATTCAAGGAACCACTAACCAATCATACATACGATCCCAGAAATCATTGCGCCGGAAGCTTGTACCCATTCCTTTATAGTTTCCATGGTGGGGGGAATTGAGTTGTATTGTCGTGGTATTGTTTTATTCTCAAGTTGACTTCAGGGGCTCGTTTCTCGAAAGACCCGGTAACTTTTCGGGTACAAAGGCAGATTTTGAAATCAAAACCTGTTGAATAGTAGCACAGTTCCTAGCCCACAAACCGGTCAATTTTGCTTCGTAAACTGATAGTTTCATTGTATCATTTTGAAAATTATTGAAACACGACAAACATAAAACAGGTTTTCGGGCCCGTAAAGTTATCGGGGCTTTCTTTTATTAGTGAGCATAGAATTAAAGTCAAAAAGACTACTGCAAAGACTGATCAAACATTGACAACGTGAAAAAGGCTGAGGTATACAATACTTTCACCGGCCAATAAAAGTCTTCACCAGGTTGATTAGGAAAAAACACGAATATACAGAAAATATACTATTCTCAGCGGTCCTACCTCGCGCGTATAAAAGGCAGAGTAGACAAAGGAGTTATGCCATTCTCTCGAAGCTGCTGAGCTGTTCAGATTAACATGGCTGACCCGCAGGTCCCTGCAGATGCAGTCCAACAAGCTCAAGTTGTCTTACAAAACCAAGCACAAGAAGGTCAAGCACCGGCGGCGTTAGCAGAACAAGCTCAAGCACCAGTAGCGCCAGAGGAACAAGCTCAACCGCCTGCACAAGCGCCAGTGCAAGCAAACGAAGTTTCTTTGGAGGTTTGTTAAACTTTATTTTATCCGTTCGTTGCCACGTGTTTCGTTCTGGTTCTCTAGTATTTCGCTTCCAAACCTTGTAGGTTGTTTGCCCTACGCGAGCTGTTGTTCATTTTCACTTAGTATATTATTTGCCCTGCTTCTTAACATTTGCCCGCTTTTCTACCGGCTGTGCGGGCTAAATTTTGTTGGATATATTATTCGCCCTGCTTCTTAACGTTTGCCCTCGTTTCGTATGGGCTGTGCGGGCTAAATTTTGTCTGATATATTATATGCCCGGCTTTTAACGTTTGCCCTCGTTTCGTGTGGGCTGTGCGGGCTAAATTTTGTCTGATATATTATTTGCCCTGCTCTTAACTTTTGCCCTCGTTTCGTGTGGGCTGTGCGGGCTACATTTTGTTTGATAAATTATTCGCCCTGCTTTTAACGTTTGCCCTCGTTTTATGTGGGCTGTGCGGGCTAAATTTTTATTTGTATATTCGTTCTGCTTCTAAAAGTTTACCTTCGTTTCGTGTGGGCTAGTGCGGCATATAATTTTGTTTTGTTTACCGTATTACACTGTATTTAAGGTGGCTCCGTAATTAATACAAGAGCATTTAACCGTGACAAATTTTCCGTCATAACTTTTTGGTTTTTAACGCGATGGCTGCGAAACTTGGCAAAGAACAACAGATATCATCCGGCAATAACACAAAATATTCCGATTTCACTGATGGTAAATATTTCTTGAGAAATTAGTGCTTAAAAGGACCCTACTGTTCAAAGAAAATCGCGTCTAGTAAAAAATTTTGCTGATATTTTGTACTGAAATAACTGGTATCGGCTTTAATTGATATAATAAATATGCCAGAGGAATTTCAGAAAAATCTTTGGAGCAGAATTCCGTAACTAAAAGTCGCTCAAAATTCAGCTGTGAAATTGTTTCGGAATTTCAAAAATAAATTACTATCAAGTAGAAGGAGCCACCAGTTTGAATTTGCGGGACAAGTAAATTCAACGCTTGCTAATTCTTAAAACAAAAGCCGATTGCCTATCGTGCTATTCTTTGGAAGGTACTTTTTAGTTTTAGAAGAACTATAAATTGCTCCAAACCTTGCTCTGAAGTAGAATGACTTGTTCGCCGACAGTTTTAAAATATCCCTTGGCAGTTTTGGCTCAAACTCCTGCTGCATACATTTTGATGTATTGCCATGCATTTTCAACGACTTTTACTGCCGTTCGTTGCTTCCAACTCAGGAAAAAAGTATTGAGATTGGACGCTACCTCGTATCAGAACTCAGAAAGAACTGTCCAGCACCTTTGTTTATGACTACAAAGTGAGCACGAGCGGCAGTTCTGCGTGGAATTCGCACCTCACCCAGGGGGGACGAACGACAATGATGACCATGCTTGTGAACCAAATAACATCACAGTGCAAAATAAAATTATCGCAAAAATACTGCCCGTGAATAAATTTACAACTCTGAAATTTTTGTCACTCCTTCCTTCAATGAATGGGTATTTTTTTCTTGATTATTATGTTTTGCTCTGTAATACATGTTTATACAGATCGGTTCACAGACATGGGTATCATTGTCACTCGTCCCCCCTGGCTGAGGTGCGAATTCCTCGCAGAGCTGGCCCTCGTGCTCATTTTCTGGTCATAAACAAAGGTACTGGACAGTTCTATCTGAGCTTCGATACTAGGTAGCTTACAATCCCAATAACTTTTTCCTGATTTGGAAACAACGTAAAGCAGGAAAAGCCGTTGAGGATGCTTTGCAATACATCAAAATGTATGTAGCAGGGGTTTGAACCAAAACTGCCAAGGGATATTTTAAAAATGTCGAGGAACAAGCTAGTCATTCGATGTCAGAGCAAAGTTTGGAGCAATTTATAGTGCTTCTAAAAACTGAAAAGTACCTTTTAAAGAATAGCACGATAGGCAATCGGCTTCTGTTTTCAGAATTAGGAAACACACTAAAGTTGCTTGTCCCGAAAATTGAAATTGGTGTCTCCTTCTTCCTGATAGTAATTTATTTTTGAAATTCCAAAACAATTTCACAGCTGAATTTTGACGGACTTTTAGTTACGGACTTCTGCTCCAACGATTTTTCTGAAATTCCTCTGGCATATTTATTATATCAATTAAAGCCGATACCAGAAAGTTCTAAAAAGTTGCTGGAAAGTTCTATCTGAGCTCTGATACGAGGTAGCGTCCAATCTCAATACTTTTTTCCTGAGTTGGAAGCAACGAACAGCAGTAAAAGTCCTTGAAAATGCATTGCAATACATCAAAATGTACGCAGCAGGAGTTTGAGCCAAAACTGCCGAGGGATATTTTAAAACTGTCGAAGAACAAGTCATTCTACTTCAGAGCAGGTTTGGAGCGATGTATAGTGCTTCTAAAACTAAAAAGTACCTTTTAAAGAATAGCACGATAGGCAATCGGCTTTTGTTTTAAGAATTAGCAAACGTTGAATTTACATGTCCCGAAAATTCGAACTGGTGGCTCCTTCTACCTGATAGCAATTTATTTTTGAAATTCCAAAACAATTTCACAGCTGAATTTTGAGCGACTTTTAGTTACGGAATTCTGCTCCAACGATTTTTCTGAAATTCCTCTGGCATATTTATTATATCAATGGAAGCCGATACCAGAAATTTCAGCAAAAAATATCAGCAAAATTTTTTACTAGACGCGATTTTCTTTGAACAGTAGGGTCCTTTTAAGCGCTAATTTCTCAAGAAATATTTACCATCAATGAAATCGGAATATTTCGTATTATTGCCGAATGATATCTGTTGTTAATTGAAAAGTTTCGCAGCCATCGCGTTAAAGTCGAAAACGTTATGACGGAAAATTTGTCACAGCTAAATGCGCTTGTGTTAATCACGGAGCCACCTTAAATTGCTTTTAAAGTTTACCCTCGTTTTGTGTGAGCTCAGCGGGCTAAATTTTGCATATTATTTGCCCTGCTTTTAACGTTTGCCCTCTTTACGAGTGGGCTGTGCGGGCTAAAACTTTGTTTTGTAAAATATTCGCCCTGCTTTTAACGTTTGCCCTCGTTTCGTGTGAGCTGTGTGAGCCGTATTTTGTTTTGTATATTATTCGCCGTTATAAACTATTTGCCCCTTTATGTGGGCCTCGCGGGCTATAATTTTGTTTGGTTTGTTTTTCGCCCTGATTCTCAACCTTTGCCCTCTTTTCGTGGGCTTCGCGGGCAATTCTGAATTCGTATGCTTGTTTATTTTCATCTTTAAAACCCCCTTTTACTTTTGCTCCGCCTACAGTTCGTTTAGTTGTTGCGCCTCCTTGTTTGCCCTTTTGTTTTATTCATTTGCGTATTTACCGCTCGATTACACCGGCAGTCCCGCTGGGGCTAGTTTATTTTGCCTGTTGTATTTAATTTTGTTTGCTTTTTCTCTCCCGATCTTTTATTATAAAAGCTGTTTATTTATTATTGCCTTGAATTTATTCATGGATTTTATTATCGATGTTTTGTCGCTTTTAGGGCTTAGTTTTGACTGCCTATTTTTCTTTTTTAGGCCTTACAACAGCGTATTAAAGCTCTCGAAAGTGCGCAAGGCACCTCAGTCGAGTCATTGATACAGAGAATTTCATATTATGGTGGCAGAAGAGTTGAGGACTTCGACAAGAACGAAGCGCTTCGTTACGCCGAAGAATTAGCTTCTGTTGCAAAGTCCTCCAGTCACCCCAAGGCCGCCAGCTATGATGTTATCGCTTCGACTTTGAGATAGAAGTTCAACGTCCCAGCTGAGCAGTTCAAGGCGTATTTCCTTGCTTTGTTAGCTGACAAGGATTTTTCCCGTGTTATCGAAACGATCTCGAAGGTTGACAAGTCTTTCCAGCGGTCCACACCATTTCGCACACAGACGCGTAGAGGAAGTTTGCCATATCGGCAACCGTATTTTCAAGCCTATCATGTCAGCGGCCACCCTCTCGCGTTATTTGTTACAAATGTGGTGAACCAGGGCATAAGTCTCCCCAGTGTTGGAAGCGCGGCGGCGCTCCTTCTCGTCAGCCTTCTTCTGCTGCTCAGCCTCGATTTAACCATCCTTCAACATAATTTTGTTGTATCATCTTATGCAATAAAGATTTTCCTTTAGGCGAATAGTGCATTGTTTTTTACTTGCCTTATGTTTCCTTTATTTTTTGTTATTTCGGGGTTACCCGTCTTTAATCCTTCACCCTTTTATCCCTTAATACCGACTTATATTTTTTTTATATATTTTATTTTGCCCACTCGCTATAGTGTTCTCCACTCGCTGTATTGTTGTCCACTCGCTATATTGTTCTCGCTCCTCTTTCTTCTTCCCTCGGGTGGCATTCTCAAGGGGAACGAATGTTCCCTCTCGGATTACCGGGGCTGAGTGCCATTCCCTGGGCCTTACCTATTCTTTCTTCTGTTCTAGTTTTTCAAGATGCCTTTTCATGACTGGGAAAAGACTCCAAACTTTGATCCTGCCAAGATTTCTGTTAACTCGCCACGTTGGGTCAATTATAAGGGATCTCTTCTTACTAAGGCCCAGGAAATGGCAGACGACGCCCATATTAGTCAAGATTTCATCTCCTCAGTTATCGCGGGAGAAGCGTTTGCCGACGCCTCCCTTTTGGCCTTCCGTGACTCAAGTTCCTTTAGAGCGGGTGAACTCCATCGCCATTTAGATCAATGGGACAAGTTATTTCAATCGTCTGATAACAATTTCTCTGAAGTACTGGACTGGATTCATAACTTTATCCACGTTGACAAGTTTTTCACCCATTATAAAGGAAGCTATAAGGGAGTCAATTATAACTGCGAAAGACCGCCTGCTCGCATTTTTGCTAATCATCCTTCTTGTAAGGCGTTTGCCCAGTTTATTTCTGATACTCTTATCGAGAGATTAGCTTCAGGCGCCATCTCCCTCTGGGGCAAGGTAGGGGAATGTCCACCTCCACACCTGGTCATGCCGCTTACAGTAGAACCTACTAAACCACGCCTTTGTAATGACGACAGATTTCTCAACCTTTGGACTCAAGACCGCCCTTTTAAATTGGACAGTGTTCAGCACTTACCCAAGTATGTTCTCCCTGGCTTCTTTCAAACTGTCTGCGATGACAAATCCGGTTACGACCATATCCAACTCTCAGTGGACAGCCGGCCGGACATTTTTTGGATTCGAGTGGGGCGGATGGTTTTTTGTCAGTTGTTGTATTCCATTTGGTTGGAAATCGTCCGCCTACATTTATCACTCCACTGGCCTCCTTGCCTCTCATTATCTACGGTCGCTTGGCATTCCTTCTTCGCTGTACATCGACGACCGTCACAGTAGTCAGCTTTCTTTCCCTAATGGTTGTCTTCCGGTTGCTTATCAAAATTTGCCCTCCCAGGATAGCATTAATTTGGCTTTAGCCAACGCTGCTATCTTTCTTACGTGTTTTATCCTTTCCTCCCTCGGTTATTTTATTGGTTTGGATAAATCGACTTTGGTACCTTGCAAGCAAGTCTCTTACTTGGGTTTTATTTCCGATTCTGAGAAACAGGCCTTCATGTTATTGCCTCACAAGAAAGAAAAGTTTCTTACTCTTCTCAAGCAGGCTCTTAGTTCAGAATCCATCGACCTGGTTACTCTCCAAAGGTTAGGAGGGAAGTGCATTTCAATGGTTCTGGCCGTGCCAGGTGCAAGGCTTTATACAAACGAAATTAACTTGGCCCTTTCTCGTGCTGTGCGCTCATCTCGACCGGTCAAACTATCCGGGCCCTTGAGACAGGAGTTGGAGCATTGGCTCTTTTTGGAAACCTGGAACGGCTTCCTTCCTTGGCGTTCCGAGAAACACTGCCATTTTCGTTTGTTCTCGGATTCTTCCTCTTTTGCTTGGGGAGGTGTATTGAGTCCGGGTGCCATTACTGTTAGCACTTTCGACTACTGGGATTCTTCTGTTATTGGGGCCGACATTGCTACCAAGGAAACTCTTGCCCTCAACAATGCCTTACAATCCTTTGGGAATACGGTAAGAAACTCATGGGTGGATGCATTTGTTGACAGTCAGGTTTTGCTTCACTCTTGGAACAGGCGTGGTTCCCGTTCCCACTCTTTGGTGACCGCTCTTAAGTGCTTGTTTCAAACTACCATGCATCTTAACGTTGATCTGCATGTCTACTATGTTCCTGGCCCTGAGAACCCTGCGGATTCTCCCTCCCGTCGGCTAAGCTTTCAGGACTCTAGACTTAGTCCAAAAACGTGGGATTTGGTCCAAAGTCTGTATGGCGGTCCTAAAGGTCACTCCGTTGATCTTACGGCACAAGCTTCAAATGTCCAAACTGACCTATCTGGCAAACCTCCACCATTTTTTTCTGAAAGTCCCTTAGTTAATGCTTTGGGGGTTAATGTGTTTGCACAATCCCCTAACTTGTATCGACCTGAGATTTTTTCGAATCCTTACATTTTCCCGCCCATTTGCCTTATTCCCAAGGTCTTTAAGTATCTTAATAGCCTTAAGTTGCCATACACCTTTGTTGTCCCAGACGTGATCCCACATCGTTTTTGGTGGCCTTTGCTTCTGTCCGCATGCTCTTCCAGCTCCTTGCTAGCCTCTAAAGGGGCTAGTGGCGTTCTTCTCACCCCTTCCAGGGATGGTATCTTGGGTGACAGGCCGATCCCCTGGGACCTTTGGGTTTTCCGGATTTCAAATAATTAGACTCGCAGTATTTCATACTGTTTAAGGATTATCAAGCGAGCAAATCCATTTTGCTGTTGCATTTGATGTGTTTCTGTCATTAAGATGTAATTTCAATAAAGTCATCGAGTCTTGTACTTTTCGTCTCTCCTTAATTTTATTTAGTTATTTTCAACTATATTTGGTATTTATTCTCATTTAGTCTTTCATCTGTCTTCCCTATTAGGATCTCCCCACAAGTACAGCGGTTTTTTATCCCCGCTGTAGCTTGCCCTTCATGTGCTTATGCCAACGACCATTTGTTTCGTTTTTGCCAAATGTGTGGCTACAAAAGAAAGTCAGTCCCACGTCAGCCTGCCTCGAAAATAAAAGTGGATCTCGCAGCCATTGATGCTCGTTTGCAACAGCTTACACAAACGGCCAACACGTCTTCGTATTCAAAGCAAAAATCCTCTTTGCGTGGAGTTTGAAACCTTTTTAGCCTCTTTGCCTAATACAAAGTCTATCTATTCCGCCACCCCCGAAGATGTTTCGCGTTTTCTGATTTGGAAAGATCGTCACGGGAAAAGGGTTGTCCATGTAGCTGAATGTGTAAATGCCCCAAACCAAGATGCTTCTGATTGCGGTTTCCCCAAGCGACTCGCGTTTAAAACCGTGGATTCCTATATTGGAAAACTTCGTGCAATATTTAACGAGGCCGGCCGTTCTGGCGAATGGAATAGTATGCTAGGTTTTGGTAATCCTGCTGCTTCTTCTCCAGTCCAAGGTTATCTTAAGGCTGTATCTGAGGAACAATTGCGTGCTCATATCGTCCCCAAGCAAGCAGTCCCGTTTTTTCTACCGAAGCTCTTACTTCTGGCAAGGTTATGGGATAGAAAAATGGCGGATCCGGCAGTCAGCCCTTCCGCTCTCTTTATTCTGGCTCGAGATCAAGCATTCTTTAAAACTCTATTCTTCAGCGCGGATAGAGGTTCTGATCTGGGATGTGTGAAAACCGCAGAAATTATGCGTTTCCCTAAAGACGATGGCTTTTTATTTAATCATGTTTGGGGTAAAACTTTACGAGACGGCGCCTATAACGTCTTTGGAATTCGTCGCCATTCAAATCCCCAGCTTTGCCCGGTCAAGGCAATTGAAACATATGTGGCTGTCACCTCAGAACTACGCATAACTCTCTCCAACGGCTACTTATTTCGCCCCACTAATCACCAGGGTCATATCGTCAATATGCCCCTTACAAGTTCTTCCGCAGAAGCCCGCTTGAAATATTATTTAAAGGACGCGAAAATTGATGAAGGCGAGACTCTGCACGGTTTCCGCTCGGGCTCCGCCATTACCCTCGCTTTGTCTGGATCACAGCTCGCTGATGTGATGTCCCACGTGGGTTGGTCCAACATGGGTACTGCCCTTTACTACATGAAGTTAGCTGAAGTTCTTCGTGAAGGATCTCCTTCTGACTTATTGTCTTCAAACGAGTTGGCGGCCTCCGCCTCCACAACTTTATATGCGGATCTTAATCGCTTAAAAGACTTCGTTTCTGCGTTTCCTCGTTCCTAATTTCTGTTTTTGTTAGGATGGGGTTTTCAGTTTGGGGTTCTCGTTTTGAGGATGGGCATCCGTTTGTGCGGTTTTTGTGGTTTCCGCCGTGGTATTTTAGGGTTATCTTCAACGGGCAGTTGGAAAACATGGACTGGACTCTGGACTGGACTGGACTCTGGACTGGACTCTGGACTGGACTTTGGACTGCACTTTGGACTGGACTTTGGACTCGATTTTTTTTACTTTTTTTTGGTTTCTTTATTTGTTTGCGAAAATCGTTTTCTTTCGACAATGTTATGTGGGTGGCTACACGTAGGTCACATTCCTGTCATTTCTCATTATCGCCTAACTTTGTTGACCTTTGTTTTTTCCCCACGATGTCTCCTAGTGGGGAGGAGCGTTGCGTGACGAGACAAGTAACGGCTGCGTAGGAGACTACACGATGGGAAAATAATGTCGACAAATCAGGCTGCCCAGATCCGACAATTCGTATGTTTATCTTCGCAATGATTGCTGGTTTTCACTGTGATTTTCACTGTGGTTTTCACAACATGGGGTTTAAAAATTGTCATGTAAACTTTAAGCGAGTCTTTAGTTTGACATACATATTCCATTACACACCAAGTGATTGGCCGCTACCTGGACGCGATTTCCGGTGTCGGTTATCAAAACTCCTTTCATTGTGAAACAGCATAATTATTTGCATGCGCTTTCCATTGCAACTTCTTTCGAAAATATGGATTCCTCAAACAAAACGTTCGCTGATGCGGTAAGAGGACAATGTGAAGAATCAAACAGTTGGTGGAGGAGTTATCAAGTGGAGGACGAGGAGGAGGCAATGGTTATTGCCATGGAAAAATCCCGCAAAATTGTAAAGGTATTTATTGTCTCATTCTGTTTGGTGCGTAATGTTGGGGTAAATCCAGAGATTTGGAATTTATACTCCGTTCTAGGGTGCAACAAGAGTACAACGGTTTGATGTCCTTGAATACTTTCAAATGGCTGCTTACAAAGGTGGATCGAGCTTTCGTGCGTTCGAAATATTATACCCCGTTCTAGAAAACGCGTCTGAAATGGATACCCCGTTCTAAATCAGGAGCTTGAAAATGACGACCCCTTTGGGCGGCACATACCCT